GCTTGAGTAATTAACTTGTTTCTTTTTCATTACATAAATTAAGCCAACGGAGGCTAATCTTATATCAGTTTTTGTTATTGCATGCCCAGATCATATTTATCTATGAAAGACAATATGTTTTCTTTATTAATCCAGTCTTCTCTATTATTTATGGTGTTCAGTCGAGTGTTTTTTTTTATGATTGAACAGGTCTTTTTCTCACAAGCTGTATAAGCAAGTAATGATTTCATTGTGTGTGAAAAGATAGTTTGTATCTGAATCATTGTTAGTTCAGTAAAAGAACTTTGTTTAATTATTTGTCCATTTAGTTCTCTGGAGTTCTTGACAAAGACAATAATACATTTGAATCTTTGGTATAATTTGTATAGTTGTCCATTCCCTAAGTTCTGCATTGCCACAGTTTCAAACTTTGTTGTTTAGTGTATGCATTCGAATCAATATCTATAGCGTTATGGCAAAAATAAAAAATGCATAATAGGAGTAGATAGGTTTTCCTATTGTTTGGCTCACACTCCTCCCTCGTCTCTTGAACAGGAGTAGAAGTTTATACCTTGTTTTTTGTTTAGGATTGAGTTTCCTGTTCCTTCTAAATTCTTCTCATTCTCTTTCACTCCCAGTACCCCCTTGTATCTTAGTGGCATTATTGCCTTGCTTGGGGTAAATTGATTTAAAATGTTTTCCACAAATATTTGTCAGTGCAATTCACCCATTAATACAAGCATCCTATTTTTTAGAAAAATAAAGGATTATAGGTAGAAACCTATAATCGATACTGGATTTTTATTTTGATTCTTATTAATGATACCAGATTTTACAGTTGGCATTAATAGGTTATAGGTAGAAATCTATAATTGATGCCAGATTTTTTTTTAAGAAGTTGATATGAGATTTAGAAACCTATAATTAATACTGGTTTTATTTTAATCTTCATAATTAATACCAGACTCTACTGTGTGTAATAATGGGTTACCTGATGCTTCTCTATTAATCACATAAAGGAATATCTGTCTATATTTCTGAGATGAGGTATTGTAACCATTTACACTACATCATTCAGGCTGTTTTCACAATGTTGTACGCTCCAACATTCTTCAGGTGATGTATGCTGAAATTTTGAACCAAACCCTTAATTTAGTCCATGGGGATAGATTGCTCCAATTCCATGTGCCATGCCTTTTTTGGATATCTCGGTATCATTTAATTCTTTTTAGTAACTCAATTCCCCAAGGTTTGGTTCCATCTGCTGTGGCCAGGTATTGAACTCACAACTCTTTGGGTCAAGTGAATTTTTGGATTACTGAACCAGTGCTTTTATCCACTGGGCCATGTGTCCTTGGGAACATATGGACCAATGGATAAAAATTTGGAGAGTCAAGTTACTCTGAACGAAATATTGTTAATATGACAAAGATGAGGACAGCAGTCTGAATGATGTAAATACATAAAGAAATAGTGAAAAGTTCTCAGCTTGGACTATTCTTTAAATAAGTATTTCAATGTTTCCTCATTGAAATACTCATCTTAGTAATCAGATATAACTGAGAACTTTTCAGCACCTTCTTGAATATTGAACATTATTTTGTGAAAATTTCAGCTCCCAATTCTGTCAAGCTATAAAGTTATTGATCCAGTTTAATATTTTATCTTTATTGAATCAACTGATTGCCATGCAGGTCTTCTCTTGCACCTATTTTTAGGTTTAAATCTTGTCATGTCTTTTTAAAAATTTCCAGTACTTTATTTCCTGATATTTATACATGGATATCATCTTGCATATTATATTGCTTGACTGTCCATTACTAGAAAGATGCTGTTGTACATTCACTGAACTAGTCATTATATTTATTTATTTCTTTAAAAGTCTAGCCTTATTGCTGGTTACGCTATAAGTGTGGCTTTGTATGTTAAACTTGCCAGAGAAATCCAATTCTATACTGGTACAGTATTTATCACACTTAATTTGCATCAAAGTAAATTTAGTTTTTCTCAATCATAGTTTTCTACCAGTATTGGATAAAGCCAATTTGTTTATTTTCATACTTTGTAAGACATTCACTCTTATTTGAGATGGACCAGGAAAAGTTTTCTCTATCTTGCTTTGTACAACTCTTTTCCATCTTGTTTTTGTATGAAAAAGAATCTTCAAAAATTTAAATGCAATATCAATTGTTGTCTTCTGTCTCTTTGAATCCTGTTCATTTACTGTCATTTACTGTTTCTTTCACTCTCAGTAACCCCCTTGTTTTTATCACCTTGCTTGGGGCAAAGTGATAAAAAAAATCTGTAGCAACAAATATAAAACAACAAATAAAATATTAAAAAAAAAAACTTATGAAAATGTTTCTTGATTTGTCTACATTTCTGAGATGAGGTAACTATTTACATTGTTTGGACTGTTGTATTCATCTTTGTCATCATATTTGCGACATTTCGGCTATTGCATGCTCTGACCTTGTTCAGGTTATATATGTTGGAATTTCAAACTAAACTCTTTATTTAGTCTGATAACTAGTTCTCAGTCCACTGACTTATTGATCTATTCTTGCAACTGAATATCTTTGAGTTAATACAGAATTTTCTCAGTTATATAGAATTTATAGGATATTGTTTTTGCATCCTCTACGATACCACTATATATGAACATTTCTCAGGCATTTTTAATTCATTAAAACTATTAAACATTAGCTTTTAGGGATAAAGATTTATGGTTTAACTTGCTTAAAAATGAACAATATTGTCGATTATGTTCAGGCATAGCTGAGCTCATGAATATGGAATTGTCCTGTTAAAGTTATCATGGTGAAATTAATTAAATAAAAAGCTCTTATTTAGGAATAGAATGAAATATTGATAGTAAATACCTTAATGCACCTTGTCCCTGTAAAGAATGTTGGTATTTGCTTTGCATTTGTTATAAAAGTTGCGATAATTTGTAATTCAATGAGTCTCCTTTTTGCTAACAGTGAAACAATGGTCTTTGTTATTTTAGCTAATCAACTGAAGATATATGCAGGACCAGTCACCTCACTTGTTTATGTAATCTTACTTATTATAAAGCCCAGGTTTGTGTGTGTGTGTACGTTTATATATTGGATCGGATTTCCTACATTTTTCAACCGATTTCAACAAAACTTCACAGGACTACATAAAATTACCTTGTGGTGGTTCTGACAGCGCCCAAAATTGGAAAAACACAATTGTTTTTGCACAATCAATTTGAAAACATGATAAAACACGATTCTGTCACCAGAATGGAAGGGGGACAACTCATCTCGAGTTATACTTATTATAAAACCCAGATTGTTTGTGTGTGTGTCTGTATTCGTTTATATATGGGATCAGATTTCCTACATTTTTCAACTGATTTCAACAAAACTTCACTTTTTTTTTTTTTTTTTTTTTTTTGGCAGGTAGTGTTTCTTATTGTCTTGCACACTTTTTTCTTTATTTTTACATTCACAATGCTTTAAAAATTCCATTTACAAGACAACTGTTTATAATAAAATTCTATTTAATCGGTAGACTCATAACGATTGAAAACAATGTTTTTGTTTGAGTTTGGGTTTGACCAATTCGTAAAAAAAAAAAAAAAAAATTAAGACATGCATGTCCGTCAACCGTAAACAATAATCTTTGTCAATTTTATTTTTCAGTCTTTATGATGGTCGATTCTTGATCTATCTCTTACTGTTACATCCCCGGGCTCTACTGCTAGTGATGAATATAACTAAATAATAAGGGTATCTTATTACTGACATACTATGGGTCAAACATGTGAGCAATGATGAAGTTCTAGAGACAATAGCAACAAGAAGGACACTTATATTTAACATCAGGAAGAGAAAGTTGAAATTTCTAGGGCATATAATGAGGAAAGAAGGATTGGAAAATCTGATACTCACAGGACAGATTTAAGGCAAGAGGGACAGAGGAAAACAACACATAACCTACCTGGTGGCTGAAGTGAATGGACGATGGAGCAGGGTTTGGGAGAGATAGCAAAAAGACAAAATTTATTAAGAGCTACAAAGGACTGAAATTGTGGCAAACCATGATCATCAACATCCTGAAGGGACACGGCACATAGAAGAAGAATGATTATCATGTTTGCCTAGTAAACCAATAGTGAAAACCCCAACATTTATAGTCTTGTGCCAGGCTGTTAACCTGTAATGATACAATTACTTTTTGTTTCCTCCTGGTGACCTGTAGAAAAGTTGAACTATCAACATCAGTTTATTTCTCTAACTTAGGTGATCATGATTTCTCACAGCCTTACTTTCTTTTATCACCCCCCCTCTCACCCCTGCCTCCCCTGTGCTACTTGTCCTCAACATCCATTTGCACAAATTTGTCAAGTAGGTTACATGTTACTTTTCTCCTTTTGTTTTGTTTCCTCTGAATGTTAGATCCTCCAAGTTTTCTTTCCTCATTTTATTTTATTTGTATATTGTAATGTGACTCACCTTAGAATTTCCACATTTATTGCATACTCTGTCCATGGTATTTTCAATATTTGTCGGTAGAACCAGCTCTTCATTGCCTGCATGGTTTTTTGTTTAATTTGCAATGAAATCTCAATTTTGACTACCATAATGTAGAGACATCACATGGCTGTTTGATTAAAGATCTTTGTGATTTCTACAGAACTTTGCTTTAGTAGTTGATTTTGCAGTATTTTTTCTTTTCTTTGTAGCTTTTTCGATTTTCTTTGTAGCTTTTTCGATTTTCTTTGTAGCTTTTTCGATTTTCTTTGTAGCTTTTTCGATTTTCTTTGTAGCTTTTTCGATTTTCTTTGTAGCTTTTTCGATTTTCTTTGTAGCTTTTTCGATTTTCTTTGTAGCTTTTTCGATTTTTTTTTTGTAGCTTTTTCGATTTTCTTTTTAGCTTTTTAGATTTTCTTTTGTAGCTTTTTCGATTTTTTTTTTAGCTTTTTCGATTTTCTTTTTTTTTTTTTTTTTTTTTTTTTTCTTTTTAGTTTTCGATTTTTCTTTTTTTAGTTTTTTTCTTTTTTTTTTTTTTTTTTTTCTCTTTATAGTTTTTTCTCTTTATAGTTTTTTTCTTTTTTTTTTGCTTTTTTCTCTTTATAGTTTTTTCTTTCTTTTTTTTTTTTTTTTTTTTTGCTTTTTTCTCTTTATAGTTTTTTTTTTTTTTTTTTTTTTTTTTTTATTTATGAGGGATTGGCAGTAGATATGCTTTCTTCCTAAACTATACAAATTAACCATATAGCTCAGCATTCTTTTCTTCATTTATCCTTTGTAAACTTATTTTTTCAATCCTTTATTAATTTGCTCAGTTTCTGTAAAGTATCTTATTCTTTGTGTCAAATTTTTTTAGTTTCATCAATTTTCTGAATTTTTTTAACTTTACCCATTTAGGCATTCAAGTCTGAATAGTTTTATTATATGAAGCAACTTAGTCTTCAATTACTTTATCTTTTTTATGCTGAAAACAAACTATTTGTATCTTGATAAAATAAATCTGATTTTATTATTTTTAACTGAAATTTTACCAGATAGAAAATGCTTTTTTATTTCATACTTAAACAGTTGACTTTGATAATTTTCAACTCTGTTTATTAATAAGACTATTGTGGCCCTAATTAGAAAATCATTAATTTATGCTCTAATCAATAATTTCATTGTATTTTGGCCATTAATCATGAGTGTACCATCTGTTTATAACAATTGGCTGACATTCTTCCAATGAAAAAACATTTGCATCTGAAGGTGGGGAAAAACTGAGTGTTCTTTTTTATTGTTGTTGTTTTAACTAGTTTTGTAATTCTAATTGAATTCTCATGCTATATTTATTTTATTTTTTTTTTTAAATCAGTTTGCCCCAAACAAGGCAATAAAGCTACTAAGATGCAAAGGGTTACTGAGTGTTAGAGAATATGAGAAAAATACTGTTAAGAACAGTAAAAGAACAGGAATTAAGACAGAAGATGACAATTGACATTGCATTTAAATTTTTGAAGATCAAATTGACTGAGAATTAAGAAGACAGAAGGAATTTCCACAAGTGCAATAGAAGAAACTGTTAGCATAAAACTTAGTTACATCTACCTAATTCAACTGTGAATTGATGAAACCTTGCTGCCAATCTAGTATTGTGCTTAAATTCATAAAGTTTTGTTAACTCAAGAAGGCACAGTGTGTCACTCTCCTAGAGATTAGCATCAGCCATACTCATTGGAAGCAGAAAAGGGTGTCTCAGAAGATTTGTTTTGCAGGTGTTAAAATTAACATGTCATTCTTTGCACCATTTTTTTTATTTAACTGGTTTTATAGTTTTAATTGAACTCACAAGTTATTGCTACAATATTTTCACCAATTTATTCTCCATTTTCCTGTGTCTGGTAAAGTCAGTCAAATGCCATATGTGATACACTCATGGGCAATCACGTTTCTTTTGATTCACAACTAACTAGGCAGACGATTTCTCACAGTAGGCTGCCATTCCTTTCTGTGGTAGACTGGTTACCAACTAAGACTATAGTCTTAGATGGTAACCAGTCTGTCCTACTATTCAACCCATATCTGGGGGGAGAAAAGTTGGATTTATATGCACAATTCATAAAGAATTGTGTAGTCTGTCAACTGATTACACAGATAGTAAAGAGCTGTTTATGTTTCAAGATTTTCCTAATTGTGTGAATGTTGGTAACTTTGATATCAACTTAATGATTCCACCTATTCTTCTTATTGGTCTATATATGTAAACTGTCTGCCATTATCACTAAGGCTTACAGTTATATCATGCTGAAACCCCAATTCTTGTACTATCACCAAAGTTAAGCAACATCAAGCCTGGTCAGTACATGTGTTTGGGAATATCAGATGCTGTAAGCTTGGATCTGCAAGTGGTAGAATGGATAATGGCTTGGAATTGTTAATTAGAGAGCTGAGTTCTAATTTCAGTTGGGTTCATTATATTCACTTTCACATAAATACTCTTGGAAAAGGTATGAATCCACCTCTTCTCTCTTCAGCTATGGGTTAATTAGTAAGATTTGTATTACAAAGTCATCATTATCTCAAAAAAAAATCTTCCAATCTAAAAGTATTTTGTGGCTTTAAATAACCTGCAATAGGTTAAGCCATAGAAAATTAATTAATCAATTAAACCATTATGAAGAAGCTCTAAATATTTTTAAGACAGCAAAGCCTATACAACCTCTATGATGTATTTCGTTTTAGCCAATAGACTATTCCATAGCATACTTTTTTTTAATTTAAAATGTCTTGTGTATGTTTTAACTAATAATCAAATATCAATAGTATCATTTTGAGAGAAATTTATGCATGTGTTCTTTTATTGCATCTCATTAATAAAAAAAAAAAAACTATTACTTTAATAATTGCTACTCAATTGAGTCTTTGGAAAAAACATCTTGGTCAACATTAATATTTTAGCTAAAATAAAATATTTGCAAGTGAAAGGTAGACAATTACATGTGTGTGTTAATGCATCAGCTTCAGAGATTGCTGAACATTTGATGAAAAACCAGCAGTTCTTAGTACAGAGTCAGGCTGATACTGATTATCACCTGAAGGTTTTGGACTATATATATATATATATATATATATATATATATAGAACTACCAGTCATCTCTCTGTAAACAAAAGAAATGTTTGTGGGTTTAAAGATAATTAGCCTTTAATATTTTATTTGTTTGTATATAGCATTAATCTGGGGTTGGATGTTTTTTGGTTGCTGTGCACTTATTTATTTATTTTTTTTTGCTCTGATGAAAGAGAACAGATAAACTGGTTAGCTGTTTTTAATCATATTTTTGGTATTACCAGTTTATGGTAATATATATTTTTTGTTACCCCTCTTTTTTGGTAGGAATATTCTTTTAATAAGTCCGTTTCTATTGAATAATAAAACATGACAATTACTGCTCAAATAAACCACCTGTAAAATGATCAGATATTTTAGTATGCTCTATATATTTACAAATAATTTTTAGAGTAAAATTTAACTTGAGTAGAAATTAAATTTTAAATGACCGAACTACTAAACAATTAGGAAACTTCTTTTTCTGTCCTCTTTCTTTTTCAAAGACAACTTCTGCACAAGGTCACATTTGTCGAGTTGCTTTTCGAGATGATAATCTTAGCCTGGTCCAAAACCTTCATACTTCAAGAGGTTTTCAAAACTAGCACACTAACCACTCTGCAGTTTGTGTGTGTAAGAGGTGCTATCCTTAATTTCATGGTGTTTGAACAATGCACATAAACAAAATGCAGTATGAAATTTTAACCTTATCCTTCATGAGCAGGACCCTACCATCTTCAAAAGAGACAACAAAAATGAGTTGTTAGTGTAAATAATTCTTTTTTTTCTTTAATAATTTTTTTATAAGATATATATATATAATATGTGTATTGGGGCAGCAAACCCTCTTTTATACAAGTTTCCTTAAAAACAACTAACAAGGTAGTGCAGTTAAGTTTTTTTTTATTTAATTTTTCTTGTGTTATGATTTTTTTTCTTTTCTGGACATAAATTATTGTTCAAATGTTCTGTATGTCTGAGCACTTTTGGCTATACTTTTAGCCATTATCTAGGATGATTTTATTTGTACTTCTAACTGAATATATACATAAAAAGATCCATACATTCAGTTAAAAGTAAAAATAAAATCATCCTTGATGATGGCTAAATGTATAGCTGAAGGTGCTTATATATAAAGAACCTTTGGACAATTTCTACATAGTTTATGTCCAGAAAAGAAGAAAATTATAAGAACACAAGAAGAAAAATGAAATGAAAAAAAGAAAACAAACTTAACTGCAATACCTTGTCAGTTATATATATATATAATTTTCTGTTTATACAAATAATTGTCGGACTTAATCCATTTCATAATATATATAATAAGATTTTAAAATGTTTTTGGAATTTGATTTTTATATTTTTCTTATCTCTTTTCATATCTCCAGCATTAGAGAAGTTTGTTTATTTTATTATTTTTTTTTTTTGTTAATTATTGATTCTTGAGTAATAAGTATGTAGGATGTGGGGAGACATGAAGCCACTCCAGACATTATATAAAAATAGAACAGCTACATTGTATTAAATTTTGCAGATTGATGTTTGAGATTCTTGCTAAAAAATTATTTTTTTATTTGATGTTGAATATTTTTTTTTTCTTTTTACTTCTAGCTGGAAACTTTTAATATTGAAACCCCATACCAAACGACAAATGAACTCAGTTCTGGAATTGCCATGGCACAAGTCCTGAATCAAATGCAAGTATCCTGTTTTTGTTAAACTTGTAAAGTTAGCAAAGCTAATCTTAAATAAATATTATTGAAATAGAATTAAACTTATTTTTTGCCTTCCATTAACATGGCTGATGCTAACATTGTGCCTTTTTCATTTAATATGGAACAATTATATTGAGTCAGTTGCCACGTTTGCTGCTAAGAAAGTTGGTTCACTCTTTTGTGCTAGACAATTTTCTGACCCAAATCTATCTTGCACCATATAATCCTATTGTTCATCTATAGATTTAATCTTGTCACATCATCTGGTGCTTCTGCCATGTATCTAGAGATTCTTGACAAAATCCAAAGAATCTGCAATGTTATAAGTCCTGACCTGGCATATTAGCTTCAATCACTTTCACACCACCATAATATTGCTTCCTCCTGATTTTTCCATTAATATTTTCATGGTAATTGTTCTGATGATCTCTTCTCTTTGGTACTTTGACTTGATGAATTTCAGCAGCTAGGTCTCATTTTACTGTTGAAATTGCTAAATGTTACCATAAGTTCTATTCTAATAGTTCCTTTTTGTGGAAAGAATTTTTCCCATTTTGTCATTCATTATATGTAACTTGTTTTATCCTCAAAAAAGAGAAAGCAATGGAAAATTCCTTTTTATTGTTCTGATAAGAAAAGAACTCCAAATTTATTGGTGAAAGCCTCAGAGTTGACATGGAGGCTCCTTGAAGAGGTAGTGCTGCTCTGGGTCAAGAGGGTGGCTGCTGGAAAACCCTATGTCTGGCAACATGACTCTGCACCATGCTGCACAAGCAGGAGAACCCAGTCATGGCAATCAGATAATTTCTGTGACCACATCACACCTTACATCTGGCTACCTAACTCCCCAAACTGCAACCCCCTTGATTATGTGTGGGGTGCAGTTGGTAGGACATATATATAATTTTAATTCATTGGGTTTGTCGGGAGGGTTAATTTTTCTATTTTGGAAATTGAGCAACAAAAATGACCTAATAAATTTCTATTCTCATCATAACAACAAAATAAAATCCACTATAATCATCAGATTCTACTTAAGAGCACTTAAAATTTGCAGGCCTCAATATTTACATGAGGTGGAGAAATACACTGAAAACATTTTCAAGCTTCTTCAGTACCCTAATTATTTTATATTCAATGTGAAACAAAAGTCTCATAAAATATTCCAAAATAGAAAAACGGCCCCCTCCTAACAAACCCAATGAATTGAAAAAAAAATATATTGTCCTACCAACTTTATCGCATCTACAATTTGAAAGAATCTATAAACTTATATAATTAATACGAGTAATAGGTTTCACTGAGCTGATTGATGTTACCTTCAGCATCCCAACTCCAGAGTAAATGGATCCTCTGGGAATCACTCTGTTCACTCATTGTGGTATCAGCAATTCACTGCTTATATCTGTTTGAATTGGGTGTCAGGAAGAACATCTGGCCTTGTAAAACCTTGCTTCAAATCATTGACAGATTCAAGTTAGTTTGTGTGAGATTAATCCTGGTCTTGCCACAACAAAAAAAAAATGTATGTATTTATTTATCTATGTATTTATTTATCTATCAACTTACAAAGTAGAAGTTTGTTCATTTAGTTAATTGTTGTCTTTAAGTTTCAATCCTTATTTTTTCTTTAAATAAGCACATGAAATTGTCATATTCATTGTATTATTATTGTAGATTCTTGATTTCTTTCTTTTTTTTTTTCTTAATCATAATATATAAGCTTTTTGTCTTGCAGAGATCCTAAATTCTTTAATGAGCGATGGCTTTCTTCAATGTATCAAGATCCAGGAAACAATCGAAAGCAACGGGTAATTTAATCCAAAGCATTTCTTTTTAATATGCAATAAAATATATTTAGTCTCAATGTTGTACAGAAGATCCTCGGGTTACATTGGACCCAATGTACAGCATTTTGTAGTTATGGTGCCATCTCCCATAATATATCATCACACGGTAACACATGAGGAAGACGGCGTTGTTTCTCCACCAGCTGTATGCCATATTGGAGTGTGCTACATTTGCTGTCTCTCATTTGTGTTGTTTTTTTGTTTTTTTTTTGGTGGGGGACTTTTTGGCTCCCAAATGTAAGGCAGATTTTTGGGTGCTTATGTAGGTGAGTTCTGACCTACATTGAAAATCAGGTTATGTTGCACCATAGGAATGGATCTCAGACAAAAAAAAATATTTTTAGACATAAGTGGAGGAGATAAGAAGTGCAGTTTATGAGGATATGTAGGAAAGAAAGGTCAACCCTAGACTTGAAGAGGTTAAGAGCCACTGAAGGTAGAGGGGTACTGAATGAGTTTGTTGTATGGAGCATAAGAGGCGGAGGCAAGAAGGTCAGTTTATGACCCTAGAATTGAACAGCTGTCGGGAAAGCATCCTCTTAGGTGTTGGTTCCACAAAGTAGCAGTTTGTGGGAAGAAAGAAGTTCCATAACAGCTTCTTCCCACAAACTGCAATTTTTGAAGCTGTTCAAGTGGAACTTCTTTCTTACTAATGGAATATGAATGCTTTCAGGATAGTTTGCCTCAGTGTACATAGCATAGTGGGTCTTAGCTGTGGGGGCTAGAGTTAGCAGAATGATTAAAAGTTGCCTTTTAAAAAGAATGTGCACAGTGCATTATATAAATATTTGTAATCTACAAAAAATTTATTATTTCATAAAATAAATGCAGGTTAATTTATTGCAGCAGTATGAAATCTGACATCTAAGTTTCAAGTAGGGATTAAAAAATTATCACAAATCAATTAATTGTATAGGCAATAAATTATTTGAGCAATATGTGTAATGAGGGGCAAACATTATTTGAAACCTTAATGATTTTTGAATAATTATATTTGATGAATTTGCATCTGGTGGGTAATTGAATGACAAAATGGAAAAAATACTCCACTACATGTTTCATTTGTAAAAATTTACATTCAAGACCAAAAATCCGAAGATGGATATACAATGTGATAGGTCCTAGCCTGGCATCTCGACTCCAGTCACTTTCTCACAGATGTGATGTGGATTTCCTCTCTCTTTTCTATAAATATTTTCATGTCATCTGCTCTGATGAGGTGTTTTCTCTGGTGCCCCAACTGCATGAATTTAAGCGTGCTACTAGGTTAGCATCTTGGTCCTACCCCTTTACTGTCAAAACAGTTAAATCTAACTGCCACTTCTACTCCAACAGCTTCTTTTCTCGCACTTCTCGACATTGGAACTCTCTTCCTCTTACTTGCTTCCCTGATAACTATAATCTTCAAAAATGTAAATGTAATGTCAATTGACATCATCTGATCCCTGTTCTCTTTATCCTTTCCTCAAATACCTCTTTTTACTCTTACTTTCATTCTCTGTAACCCCTTGTGTTTTAGTGGCACTCCCACCTTGCTTGGGGTGTAATGCTTTAAAGAAAAAACAGTATATCACCTTTCTTAATGAAACTATTGCTATTATAATGGATATTTAAAAACAATAGTGATGAAAGCAACCATTGGTAGGAAGCAGAATGAAGTCTAAGTTGTACATCAAGACACATTGGAAAACAAATTTAAAATTTAACTATCACTGCATCTTCAGTATTGCTCTCTATGCAGAATTATAACCAATATTTGTTGTATTTCATTCCCCCCCTCCGCATATGATTCCTTCAATGAAAATGGCTTACAGCCATATCTAATTGAAATACCTGTTCTCATATGATCACCAAAGTTAAGCCACATCAAACCTGGTCAATACCTAGATAGGTGACCATTTGGAAATACCAGGGACTGTCAGTTTGGATGTGATAATGGATTAGAATAGGAAATCTGAACTCCAATTGCCATCAGGTATGTTATATTCACTTACATGCATTTACCTTAGGAAAGGTAATGATCCATCTCTTTCCCCCCAAGTATGGGTTAATTATTAGTAAGACTCATATCAGTAAATCATAATCATTAAAAGGTTCTTACAAATATTTTTGGTTTTAAATAACCTGCAAAAGATTGATGTGTTTTATGGTTTATCAAACTGTCAATGAAATCATTTAGTCTGAAGAAGTCCTTTTGAAGAAAAAAAAACATATAACAAGATGTTTTTTTTTATTTTTTTTGTCATTCAGTTACCTGCCATTAGTCTGACATAATCTAGTTTCTATATCATATTTTCCCATATTAATATGTTAGACATTTCAACATATTTCTAGATTATTTTGTGGATTCATCTAATGTGATTCTGTTATATAAATTCACACATTGTGAATTATTTGTAGTTATAATGAATATCTGATGCTACAGTCACTGCAACTAGAAATAATTTTTTTTTCATACTGTGTGTGGTAGAAAAACCTCCCACATAATAGTAAGACATTAATGACAATGCTGTCTTCATCTAGCCAATGTCTCACCATATACGGGATGTTGTAGAAATACCTCCCACATAATGGTGAGACATTAGCTAGATGAAAACAATATTGCCACTAATGTCTTAGCATTATGTGGGAGGTATTTCTGCTATATCCTGTATTATTATAGATTAAAAACTCTAGATCACAAATATAAAAAAAAAAATTAAATTTTAGAAAAATTAATCTGGGTGGAGGAATGGTGGTCAGTTTGCTAAGTACATTCATTCCCTCAGGAAGTCAAAACAAAATATGTTTATACTATATGATACATTTAAAAAAAAAAAAAGACTTAAAATTTGTAATCTGGCATTCTTCATAACGAACTGGACCACTGTATTAACTTTTATAAAATTTAATTATCATTTTACTTTTTATTTTGTTTGACTTTTTTGTTCTCATTTTGGTTCTTTTTCACTTTCTTTTCTTTCTTTTGTTTTTTTTTAAATTTGTGATCTGATGATACTCTTAATCAAGAGTAAATGTTGAAAAAAATTGATTATTTCTGGTTGTACAACTTAATTGAGTATATTTTGTATCACAATCTCTTCAATCATTAAATATATAAAATGTAAGTATAAAATTAAGAATAAAAAGGACTCAATTTTCTTTGGCCTTTTGCCATGAAGTTTTGCTTTCTTAGTCACATTGTATACTTCTATAGAAAATGTTCAAATGTCAATATCTTCATTTCACTAAACAATTAAGGGGTTGGGTGTTAAACAATCAGCTAAATAATATGGTATGAAAACGTATCTGTCATTCTCTATATTAGAGTAGAGGTTATTTGTATAATTTTTTTTACTACAGAAATAGTTGTCATTTATAAGTAACCATAAGTAGGGAAATAAAAACCTGAAATATATGAATTTGTATATCTGTAAGTTCATGTTTAAAACTGGTTTAATTTTTATTTCTAGGTTACAAATTTGCAACGGATTCTCAACAGAATCCAAGAATTTTTTGCCAGTGTAAGTATAAAATATAAAATATTATCTTGCAAGAACAACAAAAATTCTTAGCTTACTGCAAATATGGTAAGTCTTAAAAGTTATAACTAAGAATGTCAGAGCAATGACTTATTTTCAGAATGTCAGAGCGGTGACTCTGTTTTGCCTTCTTTTCCCGGGGTGTGTGAGCGGCGACTCTGTTTTGCCTTCTTTTCCCGGGGTGTGTGAGCGGCGACTCTGTTTTGCCTTCTTTTCCCGGGGTGTGTGAGCGGCGACTCTGTTTTGCCTTCTTTTCCCGGGGTGTGTGAGCGACTCTGTTTTTGCCTTCTTTTCCCGGGGTGTGTGAGCGGCGACTCTGTTTTTGCCTTCTTTTCCGGGGTGTGTGGCAACGACTCTGTTTTGCCTTCTTTTCCCGGGGGTGTGAGCTGGCGACTCTGTTTTGCCTTCTTTTCCAGGGGTGTGTGGCGACTCTGTTTTGCCTTCTTTTCGGGGGTGTGTGACTCTGTTTTGCCTTCTTTTCCGGGGGGTGTGTGGCGGACTCTGTTTTGCCTTCTTTTCTTTGGCCAGCGACTCTGTTTTGCCTTCTTTTGTGTGTGAGTGGCGACTCTGTTTTGCCTTCTTTTCCCGGGGTGTGTGAGGCGACTCTGTTTTGCCTTCTTTTCCAGGGGTGTGTGTGGCGACTTGTTTTGCCTTCTTTCCAGGGGTGTGTGTGTGGCGACTCTGTTTGCCTTCTTTTCCCGGGGTGTGTGTGACTCTGTTTTGCCTTCTTTTCGGGGTGTGTGGCCAGCGACTCTGTTTTGCCTTCTTTTCCCAGGGGTGTGTGGCGGCGACTCTGTTTTGCCTTCTTTCCAGGGGGGTGTGAGTGGCGACTCTGTTTTGCCTTCTTTTCCCGGGGTGTGAGTGGCTGACTCTGTTTTGCCTTCTTTTGGGGGTGTGAGCGGCGACTCTGTTTTGCCTTCTTTTCCCGGGGTGTGTGAGCGGCGACTCTGTTTTGCCTTCTAACCAAGAAACCTACATGTAGTAGACTACCACATAGTCCCGCCACCTGTTTGAGATTATCTCCCTTGACTAAAGAACATTCCTATTTTAAATCACTATAAATAGTACCTATTTTTGTGCTAAGCTATTCTAAGCTGAATAAAGCTTCCTCAGTAACACCATTCTCTCATCTTTTATTACACTGCATAAAAATTAAATAGGAAGGAATTGAGAAAAGGGAGAGAGAAGAAAATAATAATAATAAATAATATTTTCTTCTAGTTCTAATGTTTTCTTCTAGGGAAGAAAAAAACAGAAAACTAGATGAATGGAAAAAAAAAAAAACAATTTAAAGAAATAAATGATTAATAGTAATTTAATTTCAATTAAATAGAATTTATCATTGGTTTTAGTATACAGTGGGCAATATCCTGAGGACACAGCCACATATTATGTAAGATTGTGTTAAAAAATATTTTAAGATCATATTAAAAACATGGCATGCAAGTGTTACTTAAAATTTCATGATACAGTTGAGTACACAATATATCTAGGTTTATAGCCACATCAAGTTGAAACACCAATTCCTGTATGATCACCAAAGTTAAGCAAAGTGGAGCCTGATCAGTACCTAGATAGGAGACTACTTCGGAATACCAGGTGCTGTAAGCTTGGATGTGCAGATGATGTAATGAGTAATGGGCTTAGAATTGTTAATTGGAGAGCTGAATTCCAATTATCTTTGGGATCATCATATTTACTTACATGCAAATACCCTTGTATGAACCCACCTCTTCTCCCCTCAGCTATGGGTTAATTAGTAAGACTTGTATTACTAAACCATTATCTCTTCCCCCAAAAGAAATTCTTACAATCTAAAAATATTTTCTGGCTTTAAATAACTTGCAAAGTGTTGATAAGCCATAGAAAACGAATCGGTCAAAAACAAAAACAAAAAATCTGTACTTCAACAGAACTGATTATCAGGTGATTAAAATGTTGCTTTTGGAGTTTATGCATCTGACTATTGGTTCTATTGGAGTACAGACAGATTATATTGTGTACTTGATTCTACCATGAAATTTTTTTCTAACAAACATGCTTATCATGTTTTTTAACATATGATCTTAAAGATATGTCTTGTGGCTGCTGACAGGAATCTCTCCTCACCACTATTAAGCATCAGAAAATGGCATGGTTTGGCCATATCACATGACATGATGACAGCCTCTGCAAAACCATCATGCAAAGCACTGTCGAAGGTAGACACACAAGAGTTGGTCAGGCATCATCAAAGAGTGGACAGACATGACAATACTAGAACTTCTGAGAGTCACTGCCAATAGATAAACCTTGAGGAGTTTGTCTGTCTACCCTCAGGTCCCCCTGACAATTGAAGCAGTCAAGAAACTGATGATGATATAGATATAATTTCATTGAGATTTTTGAGATGAGGAGTTATCATTATTTGCATTATTTACATTCAACTAATGTCCTTATCTCTGTTGTGATTGTCACCCTCCATTGGCGTATCCCATTGGGTCCTGGGCAATTAGATAAATTTTGTCTAAATTTCTGGGATGAGCAGTTGTCATTATTTACCTTATTTACATGTGGACTATTGTCCTTATCTTTGTTGTTATCACAATGTCTTAGCCGTTGTTTGTCCTGGGTATGATCATAAACTACATTTGGCAACAAGGCCTCTGATCGGGAGGTTTTGTAGAGCCTGGAACCATCTCTTAATTGCTGTAGTTTCCAGGTGCAGTTTGACCTAGAGTGGCAGCAACTGTCAGGGTCCCAGCTATGGGCAAATAGTTAATTCTCAAACTGGGGTCAAAACACTATGAAAGTATAAAATATATTATAGCAAAAACACTTTTTTTTATAGTAGTAAAAAAAATACTACATTTTTTGTTAAAAAAAAATAAAAAAATTACCAGCAATACATTTTTTTTCAATAAATATTACCAGCAATACATTTTTGTTAAAAATCAATAAAAAAAAAATTTTTGTTAAAAAAATAAATATTACCAGCAATACATTTTTTAAAAAAAAAAAAATAAATAATTTATTACCAGCAATACAATACATTTTTGTTAAAAAAATAAATAATAAATATAAAAAAACAATAAATAATAGCAATACATTTTGTTAAAAATCAATAAATATTACCAGCAATACATTTTTTGTTAAAAATTTTGTTAAAAATCAATAAATATTACCAGCAATACATTTTTGTTAAAAAAAAAAATAAATAAATATTACCAGCAATACATTTTTGTTAAAAAATCAATAAATATTACCAGCAATACATTTTTGTTAAAAAATCAATAAATATTACCAGCAATACATTTTTGTTAAAAAATCAATAAATATTACCAGCAATACATTTTTGTTAAAAAATCAATAAATATTACCAGCAATACATTTTTGTTAAAAAAAAAAAAATAAATAAATAAATATTACCAGCAATACATTTTTGGAAAAGAAATCACTAATGCCCCTAAGAAAATTAAATTTCAGCATTAAATAACCCATAAGGAGTTGATATGTTGCTAAACAAACTTATGGCTGTTTTGCCCTCTGACCTTTGTCAGTTAATCTGGGTAACCTTCAGGATTAAAGTGAGTCAAATGATTGGTTTGTAAATTTGCTGACATAATAAATGTGAGCTCAATCACTGAGGGAATTAATACAGACTTAGGCTCAGTGGAAATGGAGTGAGCAGTATGAAAAACAAGATATGAACAATCTACTCTCATAGATTAATTAAAAAAATGTTCAGTTTGAAATTCCCTAAAGGTTACCCAGATTGACAATCACCTGATGATGGTCGGAAGGTGCAACAGTCAAAATGTTGCAATCACAACAAAGATGATGTCTTAGATGTAATCCTGCATCATTCACACACGCAGACACAGCTGTAAGGGACGGAGACAAAAGAAAGGTATAGTGAGACAGGCCTGCAGATTGGTTATCAAGAGATGGAAAGGAATAAACATTTTGATAAATTAAAATTCTTTATGGGAGAGAGAACTAATAAAAATCAGATGTAGAAATAAATAATTATGTATTTATTTTTTTAAAAATATGAAACTAATTCATGTTTGTACAACATTTTAGATAAAAAAAATATTAATTAATGAACAGAACAAACACAGGATTAAAACTTCAAAGACAACACTAAAATTCAGGTTTTTGCTTTTTCATTCCTGGTTGTACTGACTGCTAGCTCAACTGGAAATGATTCTTAGAGTCCATAATAAAATCCATCATATTAAAACACTAATATGATGAGCAACTAATAGGCAATAATTGATAATCCTTTATCTAATAAAAATTAAAGATGTCTTGACTTTTTTTTTTTGAATTCTTTGAACCTTTGGGAACAGTGGCAGACTGAGCCAAAAATTTATACCAGGAAAACTTGTAAAAGGACTTGGTCAAAAGGACCCATTTAATCACAAAACAAGGAACTGAGGATATGTATTATCTATCAAAAGAAATTATAGCATAGATGGATCTGGTGTATTTATTTTGTCTTGGAGTTTTATTTCTAATGGAAAAATTACAGCCTGACGATTAGAACATGAAGTTTTCAAAAGTACTTGCTGCTCTAAAAATACACCAGATCATCTGACAACAATTTTATACAAAAGGATCACGTCATTCAGTGGATTGTTAGTAAGTTAATGTTTATAATGTCTGTTAGCAAAGAGAATTGGCCATTAATTACATTAATATTGCTAATTGATTCATTGTAGGATTACCTCTTTATAATGTAAAATATATACTGACCAATATATATATATATATATATTAGCTGGCCACTTGTATTCGAGTATATCCATCTACTAGGGCAGCTATCCAATCCCTACTGCAGATGTTCGCCCAGGCACATTTGTGTTTGCTCAACACCCACAGATTTCACTTGTGGTTTATACTGCAACTATGCTGAGCAGACCTTAGTTACAGTTTCTGGAAGAGAGCGGGTTATCTAGCATGATCAACAATTTGAACAAGGCCAGCTCTTAGCCACAATGACTTGTGGCTTTGTTCTAGCACAACTATCGATGACCCAGAAGAGTTCTGTCTACCCAATTTCACTCACAAGGCTTGGGTCAATCTGTAGTATGGTTTTCAGGCACATTCCAAAGGTGCTGCATGCTGGGATTGACCTCAATCCAGTCCGATAACATCAGGAAGTCTCCTTGACAAATTGACCATGATGAGATTCAAACCTGGGTCTCATGATCAAAAAGCGAATGTTCTAACCACTTGGCCATGCACACACATATATATATATATATATATATATATATATATATATATATATAATACACACACACACTTTTCTGCTTGTTATTATTGTGGGCCAATCTGCCACTATTAGGAATGTTCCTCATATTACTTATTCTTATTGTTTTTAGATCACACTCAAGAATATACATATGTATCAAGTATATATATATATATTTTTTCATATCTATTCATAGTTGTCATCATTGCGCAACAAAGGGTTTCCGCTTCCTGATATCAATGCCATTGGTAAGTTTAATTCAATTCATTTCTCTTCTAGTTAAAATCTTTTTTTTCATGAGGTACTGAATAAATGAAATCCCTTTCTGTTAAATGAAAGGCTGAAATCATTTTAAGTAAAATGGTTCAGTTTTTAATGTTTTTTTTATTGCTGTTTTTATGGTGGAATTATCAATGTACAATATTCAATTTCTCTTTGAATTTCTTAGACAAAATATTGTTACTATTATACATAGATTTTTTTTCACACCAGTTACAATGCTTTTTCTTTATCAAATTTTATTTGTATTTCTCGGCCTCCTCTTTATTCAAATTTTCAACATAAGCTCTTGTTACATTGATTCTTTCAGACTAGTTACTATGTCTTTGTTGTTTTTATCACAATGGTTTGGTTCACTGTAACCTCTAACCAAGGAACAATATAATGACAATCATTGTCTGTGACACTTTTGTTAATGTCTATGCAGAAATGCATAAAATTTTAATATTAACATGAGAGAATTAAAATTTTAATTGTTGAAATGTAATAGATGAAAACTTGGAAATTTATTTACTTTATTGGCTATAATGTTAGTCATAGAGTAGTAACTCAATTCATCACTATGTCTAGATTTACAGACTGATCATGTTGAAACACAGGTTGTTGCATGCTCACCAAAGCTAAGCAACATTGAGTTTGGTCAGTATCTAGATGGGTGACAACTTGGGAATACCAGGTACTGTGAGCTTGGATGTGCTGGTGGTGTAATGGATAAATTGGAAATCTCAGAGCCAAGTTCCTATTTCAGACAGATACATTGTATTCACTTGTGTGCAAATACCTTTGGGAAAGGTTTGAATCCACTTTTTCTCCACCCCCAGCTATGTGTTACTTAGTAAAACTTGTATTAGTAAATAATTATCCACCCCCCCAAATTCTTACAATCTAAAAATATTTTCAGGCTTTAAATAAAGATTGATAAATCATAAAAAAATCAATTAATCCAAGCATTTTTTTTGCCATATGTTGCTTGTTCAGTATGATGACTCCCCCCTTTTTTTTTTTTTTTTTGCTTACAAGGGATTTGGCAATGGGCATAGCGAGGAAAGTATCAATATCTTGTTGCACATGTAGAATATTGTAAGCATAATGGTTAAATGGTTTTACATCAAACTGAAATTGCAATGATTTATAGCAGTTCATAAGATAAATGTTCAAATCAGATGACATTTTAGCAGGAATAGTTGCATCTTGTTGCGAATGTGGTTTAGAACATTAAAAATAAATGAATACAGCACTTGGAAGGATTTCTTGTGTGTATATGTGGCTGCATGGAGAGTTGTTTGTTACCTTAGGTTTCATGCTTTTGTGATCTTCAGACAAGATTGTGAAAACTATAGTCACAAACAACTCTCCATGCAACCACATATGTTAGCTCTATCATGGATATTGAGCACTTTCCACTAATACTGCACTGAAGATACCAAAAGGTTAAAACCAAGGTGGTGTGATCGGCAGATCTCCTAATTTAAAAAATATATATATATATATATATATATATATATATATAGGGGTTATGCTTTCTTTGTAACCCTATGTTCTTGTCATAAGGTGATTGACTTTTGTTCAAAAGTAATGAAAAAAGCATTAATTTGTTTCAGTTTTTGAAATGGGTCACCAGTAAACCAAAAATTTGATTTTACCATATGCATATAAGGGGAAAGATCAAAATATTTCAGAAGTTTTATTTTTCAATTTACTAGTGGTGTCATTGAATAGTACTTATGTATTTTTTAATGCATTTACCAATTTATAGCTATAGCATAACATACAAATAAACAAGAATAAGTTCTAGAAGTCTCCAGGAAGTCATAGTACTACCATACTTATATACAATTTTTGAAATTTGATGTTGTGGTGACATAAAAAAAAAAAAAAAATTCATCAAATTATGATACAGGAAATCAATTATTTTGCAAAAGTCATGACCCTAATATATATATATATATATATATATATATATATATATATAGTGTAACCCAGATATAAGAGAGATTTTCTCTGGTCCCAAAGTGTTCCCATACTTACCTAAACAAAATAGACCAAGCCCGGATATAAGAGACTTCTTCTCCGGTCCCGACAACTCTCTTATATCCGGGTTACACTATATATATATATATATATATATATATATATATATATATATATATGTGTTAATGAAAAATACTTTTACAAACTTTGGGGTGGATTTCTAACACTAAAAGAAAATAAAAATCCTTACATTTGTTTTGAAAAAATTCATCAGTAGATGGAACGAATTGGCTAAGTTTTTCTATTGTCTTTATCCATACATTATTTTATATATATATATATATATATATATTCACATGCATAAAGACGTGCACACAATGAAAGAAGAAAAAATAAACTTTGCACCAATGAAAAGTTCATAAATTATTTCTTAGTAGAAAAAAAAAACCAGAAAATGAACAGTCAATTGTTGATATCTTCTGATGACTGGATGGAGCGATTGCTGGAGTGTCCATCTACATAACTCGAGAATCAAAAGTCATGATGCTGAAAATATCAGTCAGCTAAGTGGCAAATTTTATATTCATATTAATCATACACACACACATATATATATATATATATATATATATACATAACTCTCAAAAGAAGAAAGAGAAAATTATTTTTATAAAATAATTTTATTTTATTAATTATTTGTTTACCCCAGTCATGGCTCCAATGAATATAGGAAGTACTTCCTTTCATGCGAAACACAAACACCATACATTGTCTATAACAGATAAAGTAGAACTATTTGTATTTGATTTCTCTTTTTCCTTTATTAACCAGCATCTACTGATTTACAGGATATTTTAAACATAGGATAATGTGATAAGCTGCTATGTTTAGTGCATTTTAATGTAACTATCATTAGTCCAGCAAATTTACTTATCTGGCACCCTACAGATCTGAATGACAGTCAACCGGTATTAAATGGCTGGATTCTTTATTAACTGACCTTCTATCAGTATTCAAGAACACTTAAAATATTAATTTCCTATATTGATGATTTGTGAGGTTGTTGAACCAGGGTATAATTTTGACCATCTGTTTCATCAAGATTGACTCATACAGTTTTGTGTCTGTTGCATATTTCTATGCCAATCTCTCTTTAATATTTAACATACAATCATGTGCATCTATTGTCTCTCCAATCCCTTATGCAACCAGTATTGAAATGAAACCGTCAGAAGGGTATATTGCTTTTATAAACCCCAAATCATTCATTTTGTATTATCAACATGTTTAAGTCAATGTCTTCAGATGAGATATGGACCAGGTGATTATTTTCAGGTAAGAACAGTTTACATTATACTAATTGTAGCTCTTATTGTGAATGATTATATGAATTCTTAAGAGAGAAGTGCCCGCCAATGATGATTCCCCCCATAAATGAAGTGATATCTAGGCAGAGCCAGTAGTCATCCACACCACAAATATCCAAATAATTCATAAATTTTGAATTTTTTTCACCTCAAACAAGGCAATAAAGCCACTAAGACACAAGGGGTTACTGAGTGAGAGAATGAGAAAAACAAAAATTGTTAAGGAGATAGAACAATAAAAGAAGAATAATTAAGAAGACAGAAGATAACAGTCAATGTTGATTAGGATGCAAGATGTCGGAAAAGATTTCCACAAGTGAGAAGTGCATTAGAAGAAACTGTTAGCATAGAACTTATGGTTGCTTCTAGCCTTTTCAACTGTAAAATAATGAGACCTTGCTGCCAATCTAGTACTGCACTTAAATCCATAAAGTCTAGGTACCATATAGGAAAGTTCATCAGAACATTACAGCAGTGGGAAAATGATTGAAGCAGAGATGCCAGGTTAGGACCCATAACATTGCAAACTCTTCTTTGCATTGTATCAAGAATCTCTAAATAGATCAGATTTGGCAGCAATATTCAAAGCAAGGACAAATTGTAGACTTATAAATATGTAAGATAGATTCTGGACAGAAAAATTGTCTAGCACGAGACAGTGAACCAACTTTCCTAGCAGCAGACCTAGCAATTGATTAAATATAATCTTTGCACTTCATGTCAACAGAAAACTAAAGTCCAGTGAGTCACTCTCTTTGGAGGTTAGCATCAGCTATACTGCTATTGTATTTATTCATGTGCAAGGAGAGAAATTTCATTATTATCTCTCCAAAATTCTTACAATCTAAAAATATTTTCTGGCTTTAAAGTAACCTGCCGAAGGTTGATAAGTCATAAAAAAATAAATCAAACTAAAGCCAAATCCTTTTTCTGCTTCTTTCACTTCTTTTTTGCAAACTTTTATATTGTTTGTTTTTTTGTTTTTTTTGAAAAGAACATTTGAAAAAAAAAAATTTCTTTCTTTGCGTTTAGCGGAGACGAGCAGCATGAAAGATTTGGTTCGTTTCCTGCAGCTTATTCTGGTGTGTGCAGTTTATTGTGAAGAAAACACTCACATTCACCAAATCATGGCAATGGAAGAGTCAGTGCAACAAGTTGTGATGCAGTTATTAAAAGAGGTAAGTGCCTTTTGAACATCATTAAATTATCTCTTAAATTATCTTAGTAATTGAATCAATTAGACTGTTTTCGTCATTGTTGAATTCTTCTTTTGTGTGCCATATCCCTTCAGGACATGGGTAATCATGATTCTTCACAACTCCCTATTTTTTTGTTGCTCTAAATAATATTTGTTTCCATAACTATCCCTCCCAATCCCTGTCTTGCCATCTATTTACTCAAACTAATTTAGTGGATGTTTCCCTCTGTACTTCTAGCTTTCATTATATCATGTCAGTGTCAAATTCTCAAAGCCTTCTTTCCTTGTGATATCCCAGAGATTTGAAATGTCAATTTCTGGTTCTTAGTACAAGTTTCCTTTTTGTTTCATTTTCTTTAAAACTTATTGCTGATATTTTCTGTTCATGTATTCTCAGCATCCTTTTGTAGAACCACTTATATGTTGTCTAAAGTCTCTTCATCATCTGTGAAGAAATTGTTCAGCATTCACTGCCATAGAAGAGGATTGATATTACATAACAGTAGGCTTTTCTTAGTTTCTAAAGAAATTTTCTTGTTTCATAATACTTTGATATCTTTCGCTATTCCAATACTCCTTCAGGCATCTTTGTCACATTTTCCATTTTTATCATTTCTGTACATGCTTGATTTTGGTGTTTCCATTTTGTAGCTCAGATCTTGGATTGTCACTCTTTATTAACGACCATAAATTGTCTCTTTTTACATTACGGATCAATCTCTTCTTGCTTTCATTTACAACCTTTTCTAGTAGTTCCTGTAGTTTCCTTTCTCTGTCTGCCATCAACACAGTGTCATTTGTCTATTTTATGTTGTTAAGATATTGTTCACTATATTGTCAAATATAAATCCTGGCAGGACTCTTAGTTCTCTTAGGACTTATGGCCATATTACATTGAAACACTGGTTCTTGTATGATCACCAAAGTTAAGCAATGCTGAGCTTAGGAATACCAGGTGCTGAAAGCTTGGATGTGTAAGTGATGTAATGGATGACAGGTTGGAATAGGAAATCAGAGGGCCAAGTTTCAATTCCGGTCAGGTTCGTTATGTTTACTTATGCACAAATACCTCTTCTCTCCCCAGCTATGGGTTAATTAGTAGGACTTGTATCAGTAAAAAAATCATTATCTTCAAAAGATTCTTACCATCTAAAAACATTTTCTGGCTTTAAATAACTTGCAAAAGATCAATCAATGAAAAATAGTTTTCTTAGGACTGCATCTGTATAGGTTGAAATTCAAGGAATGGAATAAGCATCGTGAAATGTATTTATTTTATCGACTGATTTTCATGAGAAATAATCTAGAAATAATTTTTTTTACTATATTTTCTTATGAGATTTTTCTTTCAAACATTAGTTTGTTCACCCAACACTTCTGCTTTAGGTCCACATATCTTCTGTGCACTATATATATATATATATATATATATATATATATCAGTAGACCTAGGCTCAGATATAAAGATAAACTGAAGAGCAACCTTTCTTGTGTCAACATTCCATTCAAGAACTTAAGAGGTACCTATGAAGAGATCAGAGTAATGTTCCAGCTGCCATTCAGTAATAATTCACCAAGAAGTAAGCATCATTCAACTGCATGAAACACAGAAGCAAAATAAAACAACTAACATTGTTCCTGCTGCACTTGGATACAATACTTTCTCCTGTACTGTTTGTGGTCTTTTGTGAAATTCTTGAGCCGGTCTCAAAAGTCATGACCATCAAAGGCTTGCAGATAATTAGTTTGTGAGTCCATTATATATATATATATATATATCTACAGATTCCATTTCTTGATTATTTATGAATTACCATGACATTTTAGGAAAGATAGTGGAGTAGTTTCCTGCTGCCTACTCCATAATTTGGAATTCAGAGTTATCTTTCTCCTAGCCTGGCTGTCAATTAAGGCTAGAGACTCCAATCAACTCTGCTATTTGACTCACAGCTGGAAAAGAAGATACAGAATTATGTCTTTCCTAAGAGTGTGAAAATGAATGCAACAGATCAGGTTGGAATTTGAACTTGGCTCACTAATTTTACTTTCTTCACTGATAACTGTTACACTATCAGCATTGTCCATATTTTGACAATAGCACATGTTGTAACCAGGAACTAAGGAAACTGAAGTACCAATTCATGTATTGTTCAGAAACAGAAGTACTGTGTTGGCCATATTGTTATGTGTAAATAAAAAGCAGGAGTATCACTTCTGCCAGTAGGGAGGTAACCAGACTAAACAGTGCTCTCATTATTACACACATCCTTGCCAAGTTGTGACAGCACAGATGAAATAACAATGAGATTTTCTGTCTGAATTTCTGGTATGAAGAGTTATTTACATGTGGACTATTGCCCTCATCATTGTTGTTATTATCACAATGTTTCAGCCATTATGCCCTCTTGCCTTCATTAGTTGTTTGTCATGATTATTTGATTTACAGTTGTAGATTGATCTCGTTCCATCTAGTTCTTATTTAGTACTGCTTAGTTATTGCTCACTCATTTCCACTGAGTCCAAGTACACAATGTCCTGCCTAGGGATTGGACTTGCAATTACATCTATCAAATTCACATACCAACATTTTTATCCACTAGGCTATTGTAACAACAACAAAGATGAGGACAGTAGTCCATGTCTAAATAACTCCTCATCCCAGAAATTCAGGCGGAAAATCCCATTGTTATTTTTCTTTTAATAGTCCACGTGTAAATAATGGTGTTTTCATTCATTATAAGGGTAAATATTTTTAGATTAAAATGCTTATGATTATGTCATGTTGAAACACTGGTTTTCATATGATCACTAAAGTTAAGCAACATCTAACCTGGTGAGTACCTAGATGGGTGACTACTTGGAAATATCAGGTGCAGTAATCTTTATAGCATCAACAAAATACAATATTCACCAGTGGCATGAAGTAGATAAACCACTGCTAGTGGTCGACTACTTAGACAGCATATTAACCCCACTTACAATAGTGCCCAATAGTATCCAATAATGAGTACTGACTATTAAGATGTGAGATTATGTTGTATGCTAAAAAGGGTTACTGAATGAAGAATAACCAAAATGGAGGTTGGAAATGAAAATGGTAATCTTTATAACATCAACAAAATACAACACTTGTCATTGGCATGAAGTAGGTAAACCACTGCTGGTGTTGGACTATTTGGACAGCATATTGCCCCCACTTACAATTGTGTCCAACGTATTTATGAGGATTGGGACATACCCATTAGTGTTCATAGGTACAGTAGATAACACATACAATCACCAAAGTTAAGCAACATCTAGCCTGGTCAATACCTAGATGGGTGACCACTTGAAAATATCAGGTGCTGTAAGCTTAAGTGTGGCTGTTGTAATGGATAATGGCTCAGAATTGTTAATCAGAAAGTTGAGTTTGTTATATTTATTTATGTGCAAAAATTATGAATTCACTTCTCCCTCCAGCTATGGGTTGATTAGTAGGACATGTATCAGCAAATCATTAGTATCTCCCTAACATTCTCACAATCTAAAAATATTTTCTGGCTTTAAATAACCTGCCAGTGAAAGCCATAAATAAATAAATCAATTTAAATTAATAAATTCTTAGCTATTGATTTTAAACTCTGAGACAATGATATATATTTTTATATATCAAGAACAATATTGAGGAAATTGTATGACATTGGGAAATGTGCATGAATAACAAGTGCTGGGGATTTTAGAATTTTTTTTTTTTTTTTTTTATATATATCTAGCCATCTAGATTTTTTTTATTTTTTATTTCATCACTTTTGTTAGTATCCCACACTTTGATATTGGAAGATCTGCCAGGAATGTTGAGATGTAAGAGCCAAGATACAAATGACCTTGCAATCAAGACACTCTAGACATTTACATTGTAGTGATTTGTTTTCTTTGATCAGAGTAGTGTTTTTTATGTCACTTTGTCATACAATTTCCCCAATTTTAAACTCTGTATTGATTGGTATATTGATCATGTTATGGGCTAATTGTTTTTTAGACTAGCTGGCTAGAAATTACTTTTCAATAGTACCTATTTAAAATATTTACTAATCTTAGTCTAGCACAAGGCAGTGAAGATTGAGCTCATTAAAGTAGTACTCTTGTTTGCAAATCCTGTTTTCATGATGAGATTCCCCAAATAATTTTTTTATTTTCAAAAGCAATTTATTCATTATTTTATATATCATATTTTTTTTAATTATTAATTTCCTCTCTAAAAGTCATGTAATTCTAATGTTGAAATATATTTATTCTATTTTTCATAGGTTGTTGGCGAAGATGGAACAACAAATATGAGTGATAGCTTTTCTGGAATTGCAGATGTAAGAATTATTTTTATTTAATAAATAAACTTTTTTTAATCATTGTTCATGTTTTCTTGTTTACATCTTGTTTTGGTTTACAATCTTTATAGTCACCATATATCACTTATATTCCACTAGCTGAAGTACCTGTCTATATTTCTGAGATGAGGTATTATGTACACTATTTACATTATTCTGACTATTGTCCTCATCTTTGTCGCCATATTTATTGTGTTTCAGCTGTTGTATGCTCCGACCTTCTTTAGGTGGTTGGAATGTTGAACTAAAACCTTTATTTCGCTCACTGGGGTAGACTGTTCTAGTTTCATGTGCCATGTATAATGAATGTCAGTTATCTCCTGTTAATTCCCCTCACCAAGTTCTCCACTGCCTAATGACACATGGCACAGTAGATAAAGGTGTTGGTTAGATCCAGTGAAAGGACCCAAAGAGTGTGAGTTCAATACCTGGTTAAGGCAGTGGAGCACTTGGAGAGGGGAATTAACAGGAGATAACTGATAACTGACATCCATTTAACATGGCACGTGGAACTAGAACAGTCTACCCCAGTAAGCGAAATAAAGAGTTCAGTTCAACATTCCAACCACCTGAAGAAGGCCGGAGCGTACAACAGCCGAAATCTTGTAATAAATATGGTGACAAAGATGAGGACAATAGTCCGAATAATGTAAATAGTGTAGCTGAAGTACCAATCTACACTGGGTCCTGGTTTGGATTGGAGCTGATCATAACTATAAAACAATTCCTTAATCCAGATAATTAGTCCCATATAACATCTAATACCAAGGTGAAATAAATAAATGACTAAGAACAGTTTATTTTAAAATCTTTGTCAATTTAAAAAATTACTATTGTCATTATTTTCATCAACATTTTTTGTATTTTTTGGGGGTCAGCATTGCTGCATTCACTGATTATTTGGTTTGTGATTTTCATCTTGGAAGCAAAGGTAGCATCTGCTTTCTTTATAGGTTTTCCAAATTTTCATTTTCATTTGTCTTGATGCTGTGATAAGCAGGGATTCTGTTTCTCTCTTCAGATGTCCTCTGCATAGCCATGTTCATGATTTTTCATCAACATTATTTTTTATATTCTTCTTAAATTCATTATATAGCTTTTTCTTTCCATGTTGCACTCTTGATTCCTCTCCCCTTTTTAAATATTTTCTTGTTTTTTGTAAGGGAAGTGGATATTTGGTCAGATTTCTAGAAGTGTTTATGACCAAAAGATTTTCAGCACCCTCTCATATTTATTGTTCCATTGTGGCTATTTGAATGCAAATGTCAATATTGAATATATTATTACTTTTCACTTATCTTACAATCATATTAACAAATGAATTTTTTTGTAATCCTGTTCCAGACTTTTGATCATGATGACCCAATTGAGAGTACTGATATGAGTCGTGCAGGAGACCAGGTGAGTGCACTTAGTCTGTACTAATGCATGCAACCAGGATTTTTTGTTGTCAGTTTGGCTTGGGAAAATATTTGTCTAATCAGAGTTATTAAAGAAACCATATGTAAAAAATTTTCAAATTTAGGAATGCATAAAATGTTTATATTGTTTGCTGTGATAAGTACCTATGTGTGCATACACACACTATATATATATATATATATATATATATATATATATATATATATATATATATATATATGCAGCATATTTTCATTCAAAGAGGGTTGGTTAAATAATTTAGAAATATGCCGATTAGTTTTTGTTGTGATCCTTTCAAGTTCAGAAAATTAATCTGCAAATTTGAAAAGATCAGAGAAACTTATCAGCATGATATGTCTAAATTATTTAACCAAATTTGTTTGAATATATATATATATATATATATATATATATATATATATATATATACAGGGCATTAAGGTCAATATCCAGCACCAACAGTCTGTTTCATGCTTAAGCACAGTCTTCAAGCCATCTGTGTTGCGTTTTAGCTCAACTATTTATATATGCTGGTCAATGGAGTGTTATGGATAGATGGTCTATTATATTAGCCTAACGGTTATCGGGTGGATGGAAACAGTTGTTTTCAATTATTCTAGATGTTGTTGAGTAGAAATGATTGTGGATCTGAATGCACATAGGAGCTGCTTGTGTAAATGGTGGGCACATCAGGGATTTGTAAGATAGCAAAAAGACAAAATTTATTAAGAGCTACAAAAGACAGGGAATTGTTGAGTCATGATTACCGAATTACTGAAGGTACATGGCACATAGGAGCTTGTGTAAATGGTTTGCAGATCAGAGATTAGGAGAGATAGCAAAATGACAAATTTTACTAAGAGCTGCAAAGGATGTGAAATTGATTTTTAATGGTAATGAAGCTGGATGTTTTTTTTTCTTTTTTTTTTCTCTCAACTTACTTTTTTCTCATTTCAAAGTACCAAGCAATATCATAGTCATTGATGATAAATACATACATGTAAATAATGATTTAGTATAATCAGGCAGCAAACAAGTTTTATTCAAAAGGATAGACATTTTATGTCAATTGAATTTGTATATCATCTTTTCCAAATTGGGATTGAACCTTCTGCAAACCTTGCAGATGCAAAAAAAATATCCAAAATCAAGGCTGTATCTAAGCTTTTGAATCACATGAGTCATCTTACGAGTTGTGAAAATGTAAGGTGAAGGAAAGAAAATAGTCATTTAAGTTTTATCCCTAGTTTCCTGTTAGGATTGGGTTTCCAGTTTCTTTTTAATTTAGCTTCGACTCTATTACTTCTAATGTCTCCACCTAAACTCTGAAATTTATATGATTATTAGGTTTCCAGTTCCTTAAGTATTTACCTTCTTTTTCACTTACTGTAGGCCATTGTGTTTTAGCAGTGTTATTTTGCCTTGCTTGGGGTGAATTGATTTTTTTTAATATGAACATGGACCTTTTGTGCTTGCAAAAAAATGAAACCAAATGGAGTGTGAAAAGTACAGTTTTTCCCTTGACACCACTATCATTTTAACTACTTTCACTCCCTGTCAATGTTTGTTTTAAAAAATGATGATTAGAATTGTAATAAAACCTAAAAAGGTCCATGCTTGCCAAGAAAACATTGTAAGAATTGAAGTCATCAAATTTGTTTACAAATTTTTATGTAAACTAGAAAAATTCTAATTTCTGTTTCATAATTTTTGTATCTGCTAAATGGAAGTGCCAAAAAATTAGAGATGGTTACCTAATATGTAATGCCTTTCTCCATTTGAATAATTGCAACTCCATGATGTGACATGGAGTCTAATGTACTGGAGTTGTCAATATATACCTTATCCAAGCAAGGAATTTAGTGATATCTGCAACATATTTCATAAATACTCAATGGAGTTTAAATTTGGTAAGTATAGGGTCAAAGTATCTGAAACCTGTTTTATATCAGCTGTGTATGATAGGGGAAGGATAGTTCAATTGTCTTGCTGGATTAAAGTCTCATCACCAGGAAACACGGTGAATATAAAGGAATGTAAATGATTTGTACCAAGATTTGTATATATCACACTTGCCAATACACTATTGTTTCATTAATGATCTTTGTGAACTCCAACTGTTCCACTACAAACTAATGACAACACTCTGCTGACAGGTTGGATTCATAGCCTCATGTCGTCTCCTCTACACATGAACTAAAGCACCTGCTTCATAGAGCAGAAAATGTGACACATCTGACATTGTACAATAGCCATTTTCTTGAACATTAATATTTTTAATTTTAAATGTTGAAGAAGTGGGCATGGTTAAGCAGAATTGACAAAATTTTCATTAACAAAAAGAGGAAGAAGAAAAGGGCAAAATAATATGAGATAAAGTGAAGCAACTATAAAACAGTAACAATGTAAAAAATTCACAAAATAGAAATATTGTTCACATGCAAAAGAGATATAGTGAAATCATTACGACCTTTTGACTTCAAGTCAAGAAAGAATAAATGGGGGGGTAAGACTGAGAATTGTTCATTTTCATTAGCTAGGAAGAAATCCCAGCATGCATCTAGGATTTGTCTATAAATTTGGGCAGGTGGTGTTAGCTGTTACTGTCCAACAGTAAAATTGATAAATTTTTGTTTTTTTAGTCTGATTTAATAATTGTATTTCATTAAATATACTGAAATTTTGTTTGATAGTTAACTTGAAGCTATTACTTGTAAGCATTAACCATGATATATTTTTTTCTTTTTTTTTTTTCTTTTTTTTTTTTTTTTTTTTTTTTTTTTTTTTTTTTTTTTTTTTTTTTTCTTTTTTTTTTTTTTTTAATAAGCTTTCTTTTCTCTATGGGAGCTCTAATAAACAATAATTCTTTTACCTCTCTTGTGTTGCTGTTTTAATCATATGAGGAATACACTATGGTAGTTCTAACAATAAACTTTTACTAAACCTTCAATAACTTTTTTATATGGCAGTCTTTTAGGTAATAACATTTTTGCTGATCCTGTTTTAATTACCTGTCTTTTTTATTGCTAATAACTTTAATTACCTAAACACATTTCTGTACAATTCTAATTTATAGTAAGCATATTGTAAAACTAACAAACTCTACTATATAATGAGTTACTAACTCCATCTGATAGCAAATCTGGGAGGCCCTATGTAAGTAAAGAGAAGAAGGAACTTTTATGGCTGTCTAAATCATAATGATTTGATTTCTGTATGTCTGTGTATTTATTTCTGTAAGATAAAAAAACAGCACATGGTAGTACAATTTGTCTTAGAACAATACCATTAACGTGTTCTAACTTGGAGAATAAAACATTTTCTAGTCTAACCAGGATACTTGTTCAAAGTATTTTTTTTAATTAAATGTTCCTCTCAAAAAAGGTTTGTCAAGGGGGATAAGTCATGTTTTATTAACTGCTAATTGAATAATTACATATTTGCAATAAGCAGATAGATATACTTGACATGTGTGCAGTTTCTCTATTAGCCATAGAGGTATATTAGTGACAATACTTTAATAATTAGTAATAAGTTGAGCTTAGAGATAATTAGCATTTGTAAATAATTCTATAAATGGAAAGTGACTTGACCTTTACCAGAGGCTGCCAAAGGTGGCATTTAAGTGACTTAAATGAATAATTTTGTAATTGGAACAGACAATTCTTTTATCCAAGTTAAAGTTGAATTGGAATATTCATGTCAGTATTTTGATAATTAGTTTCAGGTAAATATTAATTATAATTCAGAATTAAAATCTTGTTTAACTCCTTGAAAATACTTAGTATAGACAATGAACATGTATTTGTGCTACTTCTTATAAAATCACCATTTGTGTGCAAATTGCCAGCATTTTTATTTAAAAAAATAAAATAATTCTTTTTTGCTGTGTATTTAATCTCCAGTTCATAAAAGGATTATGGAAACTATTACACACAGTTATCTTTTATTATTTATTTTTTTTACCATTTCACCTCAATCAAGGCAATAAAGCCACTAAAACGTGAAGGGTTATTAAGTGTTAGAAAATATGAGAAAGAAAAAAAAGCACTATCAAGGAGAGAGAACATTAGACGAACAAAGATTAAGACATTAGGTAACAATTGACATTACATTTAAATTTTTGAAAAGCAATGTTGACTGGGAACAATAAGCCTGAAGAGAGCTCTACAAGCAGTTTGTGTGAGAGAAGAAACTGTTAACATAGAACTTGCAGTTACATCTAGCCATTTCAATTGTAAAATGATGAGACCTTACTACCAATCTAGTACTGCTCTTAAATTCATAAAGACTAGGTACTATAGGGAAAAGTTTATCAGAACAGTTACCATGAAAGCATTTATGGAAAAGTTACTGGGAAGCTACATTATGGTGGTGGGAAAGTGACTGAAGGTGAGAGGTCAGTACCACTAAAATTTTAGATTCTTTTTTTGGATTTTATCAAGAACCTTTAAATATATAGCAGAAGCACCAAACTAAATGTGGCAGCTATATTCAATGTATGGATGAATGGTAGGCTTATAAATATGTAAAAGAGATTCTGGTGAGAAAAATTGTCTAACATTACAGAGAGAATCAACTTGCTTAGCTGCAATCTTAGCAATTGATTTGATATAATCTTTGCATTTCATGTCAGCGTAAATTATTAGTCTGAGAAATCACTCTACTGGAGGTTAGCATCAGCCATGCTGATAGAAGATAAAAAGTTTTTTTGGACAATCTACTATATTTGCTGGTATATAAGACATACTAGGATTTGTCCCAAATGTTTTGGGACTTTGAAAAGTGATCAATCTGTTAAGCTACTGAGGATTTGGCATGGTTCCTTTCACATTTCTGTCCAAATCAACTAAACAAGAAATACATTTATTTTTCCATGAATCTCTTTCTTTGAGGAAACCATTTTGTGTAATAAATTCTGAATTTTAACAAGCAATAATTAGTGGGAGGAAAACCTAGTGGTTTTATGGGTATTTGATTTTCTTAGAGTGTGCAAGTCATTACATAGACGAAATGTTATAAAAATGGTATTGTTCTGTTGTGAAATGTTTAGAAAAAAAAATTAAGGATTAAACAGAACTTTTAAAGTTTAAATAATAGTATCATTTTTAATAGATACTGTCTGTTTTGATCAATAAACCACTAAGTATGATGAATTTTTATACCAGAAATTGAACTCTAATCAATCATCAAAAGTTCTACTAATTGAATTACAGCCTTGGAATAGCTTTTGAAAATGATTTATTGATTCATTTTCTTAAAACATGAATTTATTATTTACATTTAGATTAATGTCCTTATCTGTTTTTATGGGCATAATGTTTCATCCATTGTATCCTCTGGCCTCATGCAGGTGTCTGTTGAGCAAGGTAACCTTCAAAGAATTTTGAACTGAACCCTTTATTTAAGCTACAGGGGTAGATTGTTCTCATTCCACTGTCCATGTCTTGGGATATTTTGTCATGCTCTTATTTAATACTGCTCAGTTATCACTCATCCTGTTTCCACTGAGTCTAAGTCTGTACTACATGACACCTGAAGAAGGCCAGGTTTCAGAACTTTTAACTTAAGATGGGGATAGTCTGAATGTAAATAATGATAACTGCTCATCCCAAAAATGTGGACACACACACATATATATATATATATATATATATATATATATATATATATATATATATGAGAGTTTTTTTTGCAGCCAAAATTGCTGGTTCTTTTTCTGTAGTACATTGGTGAGAAAGCATTTTAGGCAGTTTTGTTTTTTGTTTTTTTTGTTATAAAGTGCTCCATATCAAAAGGTAAAGATAGAGTATTAATAGAATTAATGTGGAGAAACTTATCACTTAACTGAGTGCTGTTGGATCAGTCATGCTGACTTCAAAGTTTTGTGAGCACATTGCAGTAATGCTTTCACTCATCAGGGCTGTTGTCTTCTCTGCTGCTACTTCTCAATTTTGTTGTATTTATATATAGTTTGGTATAAACACCCATTAAGTGAAAAATCACGCACCCATACAAAGATATAAAATTACACCAAACCATACTTAAATATGATAAAATTAAGAGAAAATAAGACCTTTCTCATCTCTTGTTCACCTCTCTTTCTCTGAGTAGAAAGAACCAACATGAGTCTATGCCATAGGGCAGAGCCTCATCTGTGGAGGTAAACAGCTGCCTGAGCCATGTACGCACTTGGAAAACCCATGTTAAAAAACGGCCTTGTGCCACATCTTGCCTTATGGGCTGGTCTCAGTTAAATACCAAGAAGACAACAGCCCTGATGAGTTAAAGCATTACTGCAATGTGCTCACAAACTTTAAAGTCAGCATGATTGAACTAACAGCATTCAGTAAAGTGGTGAGTTTCTCCACACACACACACACACACACACACACACACATATAATCCCCCCTCCCCCAAAGCAAGGTGATAATATCATTAAGATACAAGGGGTTATTGGGACTGAAAGAGAATGAGAAGACTTAAAGACAATAAAAGAATAGTTCAGGAAGACAGGAGATTGCAATTGATGTTGCATTTAAATTTTTGAAGATTGTTGGTGGCAGGTAAGCAAGAAACCAGACAAGAGTTCCTCAGGTAAGAAGTACAAGAAAAGAGACTATTACAATAGAACATATGGTTACAGCTAGCTATTTTACCAGTAAAATTATGAAACCTAGTTGCATGCGTAACTTCATGCAGTTGAGATACCAAGAAGGAGAGCTCATTAAAACAACTGCCCTAAAAATATTTATAGAAAAGACAGTGGGAAGCCATATTATGGCAGTGGGGAAAATGACTGAAGTCGATATGCCAGGTGAGGACCAATAACATTTCAGACCCTCTGGATTTTGATCATACATATGAAGTATTACTTGGTAATTATATATTAAGAATACAGTAATATTTTTGCTTTTAATTATTTCTTCCTTTTAAGAAAATGTCTGATAGACTTTAAAATAATATTTAAGAGTTTGCATGTGTTTGTATATTTTCTTCACTTTAGATTTACAAACTCTGTTGCTTAGAATGACAATGTTGCATGAAATTCCAACCTTCAAGTATGGTAGCCCATACTGCAATAATCCTGAATCTGCTTTCTGCCTTTGAATTTCTTTATACTATTCATTTCTTGCTTTAGCTGTTTACTTTTTATTTATTTATTTATTTCAATTTATTTTCTCATAGAACAGTGATAATGACTTAAAAATAGTGTGTTCATTAGCTTTAGGGTAGTGTGTTGATTCTCTTTGATGTCTCCTCATGTTCCTTGTCTGATTTTGTTTTCCTGTTTTTGTGTGCATTTTGACACTTTTTGTTGCACGCCACTTGAATTTTTGCATGTCACCTCCCGTGTTCTATATATACACAGCCTGACTCGTCTGGTGTATCCACAAGTAGCACACAGGACACTGAGCAATCCGATGTAGAAAATGATGAGACAAAGAAACAACAGAAAAACGTAAACTAACAATTTTAATATTCATTTTTTACTCAAATTCTTTTCATTTATATTTTTGTTACCGTTTTATTTTTTAATCATAAATTATTAAATCTAATACATAATAATGAATGTGTGTGTGTCCATGCTTCTTTGAGCTTTCTGGATTAATTTCAATCAAATTTTAGTATATATTACTTGTTTTTTAAATAAAATAGTTGAGAAGAAAATGGTTGCATGGAAAGTCAAATTGATATCCATCATATATTTAAAATATAATCTTATTTCTTAAAGCATTTTCAGCTAATTTGGACATTCATACCTGAAAAAAAAAATGGAGAGTCGAGAGGACATCTATTGTTTTAATTAACTTCACTTTTTGGCAATGTTTATTGTTTTAAAAAGTGATGATTAGAATTGGAATAAAACCTAAACATATGATGAAATTGTATTTATACATTTTTTTTATTCTTGAAAATTTACAACAAAATTAATAAACACTATTGTTTATTTACAAGAATAATTTTAAATTTACAACATTCTAAAAACTAATACAATGTACTATTCATCATTTATCAATGTATAAAGAAATAAATATGAAAATAATTTTTTTTTTTCATAAATTTATAAATATTTACTAAATTATTAAAACATGTGAATCAACTATAATGAAATCCTTATTACCATTTTATAAAGTTTGAATCAGATGGCAATTAGCTGATGTTCTGCCAACCATTCTAATAAATAATTTAATAAGTGGTTTAAATAAACAATCTAATAGTGTTTAAGTCTTTTTTGTCAGTTCTGAAGAACAAGGAAAATGTATAAATTCACTTTCATATGTTTAGGTTTTATTAAATTTCCAATCATCACTTAAAAAAAATGTTGCCAATGGAGTGAAGGTAGTTAAAATAATAGCTGTGTCAAAGGAAAAACTGTCCTTTTGATACTTCATTTTTTTTGGGGGGGGGGGGGCATGAATGTCCAGGTTTGCCGCATTTTCAATATTTTTGCTTGTTTTTCTTTTCACCTTTATTGTTGCCTTTTATTGCAATGTTCAGGTTGTTTTTACATTCTGCTACCATTATGTCAAGTCACTCTGAGTGGAACTGGTACCATGTAATCCAATACTACCCGCTACATAATTGCGTCATTGGTGACTAAACTGGTTCCCTGCCAGGCTTTTCAAGTGGAAAAGCTGGCTCAACACCCAGGAGGATTAAATACTGTCAAAGGATAAATGAACCCTCTTTTAGTGCCAACCACCATCTAACATGTATACAGTCAATATGATGATGACATGACATTGATGGGCAAAGGGCTTTCTAGACTGAAGTCAATAGCTAAGGTAGAAAGTTCTCCTGATGAAATCAATGGTATGTGTTTGTGAACAAGGTGAGCCTTCAAGGTGAAGGACTGGCTTGGGTTTGACCTTAAGAGGGATAGCTTCTGACAGGTCTACTTGCCCAAGATATGCTATTCATGAATGTATAACACTATGGTTTTCAACATCAATATGTGGAAGACACTAGTCAGTTGCTCAGCTGCATTGTGACCCTATAACCATACCTAGTCATGGGACTGATGATAATGGCTGTTAATTAAGTATTATGGGAAATTATCCACTCAAATGAAATATGACATAAAGCAATTTAAAAAGCGTGAGTTCAGTATATTCCTTGGACTATTGGCAAAAATTACCCAAGTTCTCTTGGTATTTCACTTTTTGCAAGGCATCACGGATTGACTTTGATCCTTCTCTTGTTAATTCAGTCAAGGAGTTGCTCCCTGTGGCTATTGGACTTAAGTAGAGCTTAGATTTTATATTTATTACCCTAATCACAAATGGCTATGGTTCTGGCAAGGGCAGATAAATAAGTAGATCAGAAAATAAAGAAGTAGCCTCAAACAAAAATGACACCTTCACCACTGGGGGCTCCCCCTGCTGGTGAAATTTGCTTTTTTGGATACAAGCTTTAAATCTTGTGGATGGCTACATTATATTTCTATTTTGATGGTTGTAGAAATTTAAAACTACCTGAATATTGTAAGAAAAAGATGAAAAACTTGTCTAAATTAATAATTCAAAACTTAATCATTAAACGGAGAATTAGATTTTCAACCATAAATTCATGAAAAATATGTAATATATTCTGTCTCTAACTAAATTTTAAACCCTTTTTTACTCAGTCTGTCTAAAAATTCTTTCAGTTACTTTAAATAATATACAAATTATTCAAAAGCTTTAAAAGCAATCACAGTATTTTATAGAAGAACTAGCTGTTTATATAATTTGTGATATCAGGATTATGATTGATTAAACAAATATATAAAAACTTTTAATTGCTCTAATGGATGTTTAATAAAACAACAGATATTACACAGGTTTTTTAATACCAATTGGCATTAGACAAAATTTTGGCTTTTCTTAGCTCTGCTCACTGACTTTGCTATTTTTCCACTTTCCCCACAGCCAGTTTTGCTTTAATAAGTTTTACACTGATGCAGTAAATATTTATGTCAATAAGATAATAATTAATTTTTTTTTTTTTTTTTTTTTTTTTTAAATTGCTGATTAAACAAATTTTTTACTCAAAATTTTTTTAACAGTTTTCTTTGAAAATCAGGGAAAACAGGAGTGTCAATGGTTAGGAAGTAAGAAAAGAATTATGGAACACAGCTATCATATATCAGGTCATCCCATAAGTTCTGTCCAAATTTTGAATAAAAAAAACAAGTGACCAAATGTTACATTTAATTACAGATTCAATCAACAATTTATTTTCCCTGATTATCTATGACTTCCTTCCATCTATTAACAAAGCGTACTAATTCCATTACTGTAAAATTCTTTTTGGCTTTGATTCGAAGAACTCACAAATGTCAGTTTTAACCTCTTCCTGTGTTACAAAAGCTGTTTCTTCCAAATGATTCTGTAAGCTACGAAACAAATGTTAGTCTGAAGGAGCAAGATTTGGAGAATAAGGTGAATGAGGAATTTTCTCCCAACCAAGTTCTTCAATCTTTTGTGATGTGATTCTTGCTGTGTGGGGTTGTGCATTGTCCTGATGAAACATCACCTCTTTTCAATTCACTAGAGCAGGTCTTTCTTTCCTCAAAGCTTGGTTCAAACGCTCTAATTGCTGAGAGTATATTTGAGCATTAATTGTTGCATTAGGTGGTAAGAATTCAAAGTGGATTATTCCTTGGCAATCCCACCAGATTGAAAGAAGAAGCTTTTGCCCATGAAGTTCCCTTCTTGGCTGTGGCTGGGGTCCTTCCTCTTTACCAAGCCACTGTCTACGATGTTTAACATATTGATAAAAGATCCATTTTTCATCACCAGTCACAAGTCTATCCAAAAAAGGTAAAACAAGTTGGTGAGAATGGAGAGAAGAGCAGATGTCAACTCAGGATTTGAGGTTGTTTTCAAACAATTCATGAGGCACACTTTTTTCCAAGTTTAGGAACTTTTCGAAGTTGTTGAAGATGATGATGAACAGTTGTATGGTTTGAACTGAGAACCACTGCCAATTCTTCAACTGATAAAGCAGGATTTTCTTCAAAGGCTGCTTCAAGAAGCTTTTCATCAAACTCAACTGGACGTCCGGTTCGATCTTCATCTTCAAGGGTGAAATCTCCACCTCTGAATTTTGCAAACCATCTTCTGCAAGTTCTTTAATTCACACATTCTTCTCCATAAACTAAGTGAATGTTTCTAGTCGCTTTGGCTGCTGAGTTTCCTTTCTTGAACTCATAAAGCATTATGTGCCTCAAATGATTCTTGGGTACTTCCATGTTAGCAGGGTTTTAATCAAACAAAATTTAATTTTATCGTTCTCTGAAATAAAATTTAATCAGTTTAAATGCATCTAAACATAAAATAATATTCAGCTCCATTAGACATTATAAAATACTCCTTAAATTTTGTTCATTTTAACAAAAAGTTAAAATTCGGACAGAACTTATGGGATGACCTGATATATATATATATATATATATATATATATATATATATATAATCCCTTACTGGTAGCAGTTTCATGCACAATGCAATCTTCAGGTGCCGGGTAGAGCTGAAGATTGCATTGTGCATGAAACTCAGTTGTGCTACCAGTGAGGGATAATATGTATATTTATTAATATATACTTAATAACTTCCTATCTTAATATATAGCTTATATTACATAGAGCACTATTTTATAAACACCAGCACTCTGTGCAATATCTTATGTTCACACACACACACACACACACACACACACACACATATATATATATATATATATATATATATATATATATATATATATTTCAAAAAGTGGGGAAAAGTTGTGTAACATGTATTTTATCTTTTAGGACTTAATCAGGCTAAGTTTATACATAAACTTAGTCAGATAAAATCTTAAAAGACAAAATATGTTACATAAAAACTTCTTTCACTTTGTCTTACTTCTTGATATATAAAAAATATTGTATATTGTTTTCCCGTATATTTATTCATTTTTATACACATATATTTTGCACCAGAATGCTTCCTCAGTGATGCCTATTCTTGGCTTCCACAACATCAGACTTTCTCTCCTCTGGGCTCAGCTAAGAGTCATTATTTCTTGGCTAGCATTCTGCCAGCTTGTGCATGATTGCAAAAATTATAAACAATATTTGTGCCTATGCAAATGTAATCCATTTATTCAATCTTATGTATGATTTCTGAACAAATATATAATGAACACACACATATATACATTGAATCTTATATTGGTGATATAACATTATTATTATTATTAATCAATTTGGCATTTCTGTAAGGAAGAATTACAATATATTTCTGGCTGTAATTACAAACAAACAAGAGATTCCACTTGTCAAAGAAAAGCTTAAAATTTGCAATAAACAGTTTTCAAATTTTAAGAGAAGAAATGTTTTTCACTTAAGAAAGTTCATCTGAGTGACATGTTTACCAAAAACAGTTGGAGTTAATGAAAACTAGTTGGTTAAATTGTAATTTACATGGTTTCTGTGAATTCTTTCTTGTAATCCCCCCCCATCCCCGTAAACAATGCAAAAATTATCCATGATATAATAGAAATATAAAAATTATCCATGATATAATAGAAATATAAAAATTATCCATGATATAATAGAAATATAAAAATTATCCATGATATAATAGAAATATAAAAATTATCCATGATATAATAGAAATATAAAAATTATCCATGATATAATAGAAATATAAAAAATTATCCATGATATAATAGAAATATAAAAATTATCCATGATATAATAGAAATATAAAAAATTATCCATGATATAATAGAAATATAAAAAAATTATCCATGATATAATAGAAAATATAAAATTATCCATGATATAATAGAAATATAAAAATTATCCATGATATAATAGAAATATAAAAATTATCCATGATATAATAGAAATATAAAAATTATCCATGATATAATAGAAATATAATACATAACATACAAACAATACAAATCTGAGATGAATAATGATTAAAAAAAAAAAAAAAATTTGTGAAGAAGACAAGAAGAAAGGTCATAGCATTTCACAGATGATATTCAAAATCTACAGGACTATGATTTCCTACTTCCTAAAGTAAGTTGGCCAGTCAAGGGCCATACATCATGCAGACTTGGGTGAACATGTCTCTTTTGATTCATTAATGGCTAAACAGAAAATTTCCTGCAGTAGGCTGCTGATTCTTTCTGCAGTCGACTGGTTGCCAACAAAGGCTATTGGATTCAGTCTATCCTATTATTCAACCCATAGTTGGGGGAAGAAGAGATGTATTTATACCTTTTCCAAGTGTATGTAAGTAAATGTAACAAACCTGACTGGAATTTGAACTTGGCTCTCTGATTATCCAATAGCCATTATGTATTACACTGCACCGTGCATCCCCCACCAAAAAAAAAAAAATTGACATAGAATTAAAAAATATCTTTGATTATATTTCTTCTGCAGTGAACTGTACAGTAGAATTATTTACTAAACTTAGTCTAGTTTTCACACCAATGTCACAAGGATAGGGCACTCAGTGAGGATCAAACTCAGTCTGATTAACTATTACCATATGCCAGGGTTTAATTAGTTAGGTTGATTTTGTGACAGGTCAACCCTTGTTGGGTTATTTAATGTTTAATTTTATATGAGGCACGGAGTGAGGATTGAACTCTCTACTAATTAGTAATGATCAACCAGAATAACTAGTTAACCATTACCCTATGCCAAAGCACTCCAAATTATGACATTATTGCTAATTAATTTGAAACCTTGATATAATTATATTTTGGCCTTGATATTTGTTGGAAATTAAGGTAAGAATTGATTATGGCAGATGTTTTTAATTTCTATTATAAAGAGGCATATTGAATATTTAGCAAAGCTCTAAGTGCTTTGTTTGGATGAAGTGTTTTTTGAGATAATGAAAACAGAACAAACGTTAAAAAATATCAGCCATGAACATAAACATTGCTGCTAGTAATGATAAGAGCCTAATATGAAACTAATTTTCTTTATTTGTTGATTTGGGATAAAAAGGGTTTCTGAATTAATCCATTCTCAACTTGTAAGGGTTTTTGCCATAAAGACATTCTTCCTTTCAGACTGAATAAGTAAAAATTGGAAGGTCTTAAATGCTATTGAATAGAGATGCAAGAGTAGATTTGCCAAACTTAAGTTTACCTTTTCCCAGAGTTTATTGACTGAAAGTGTTGTATTGTCATTCTCAAGAATGACCTTTTTGTTAACCAAATCATTTTTATATAAACCTTCACTCTTCTTTACAGTGATCCAAAGAGCTTTGTTAACTAACCATATTTCACTAATTGTTCACCAAGACCTTATAGGAGTAGTGCTTTGGCTTTCATGTTGGTGTGGACATTTTTTTATCTGTGGCTCCCAGTGTCTTTAACCCTGCATTGGTTGCCTTAGATTTCTGAAAACGGATAGTCTCCTGGAATCTGCCTCTCATGACAACTGAGCTACAACTGTGCCACACGGCATGCTACACACCCTTACTGAGTTGGGAGAGAGCAATAGAAACAAATTGCCAACTAGAAATTACGAATACTTTAAACATTTGGGGGTAACAAAACACTCTATGTGACTAAAACAGGATTAAAGTAATTAGTTTCTGAATGGACATTTAGTCATTGTTAATAATGATGGGCATATAGTGTAATGGAAAATGAAATTGGCAAGCAAAGTTCAGATTCTGGCCTAATCTGTTGTATTTACTTTCGCACAAATGCCTTCAGAAAAAAGCATGAATTCATCTCTCCTCGGCTATGGGTTTAAATAGCAAGCTAAAACAGGGCTTTCTGGCCTTGTATGGCAACCAGTCAGAGAAAGAATTTTCTGAATTCCAGACTGTAGAGATAGCATTGAGAAGCTACCCTATCTTTCCCAAGAAGTTCTGGTTATTCACAAATAATAAAGTAAAAGAATCTGTGAAGGACTATGATCACCTATGTCCTGAAAGAAGATGGCATTTCAAAAGACAATGGAAGAAATGATTATCTTCTTAACAAATAAATAATTAGATTTGAACAAGTTTTTATTTGCCTCTTAAAAATATGAGAGATTACTTTGTAAATGAAATATTTGCATCTTCATTGAAATTCTCTTTTTTAAGAAAGGCTATAATCATTGAGTATCTAGTATGGAACAAACTAGCAACAGCCTGCAAGATCAGCACTCTCCTCATTACCTTATTCTGTGTAGTGCATTCTCAACAACTGCACAGCTTATGGCTATATCACATTGAAATACTGGTTCTTATATTATCACTGAAGTTAAGCAACACTGAGCCTTGTCAGGACCTAGATGGATGACCACTTGTGAATACCAAGTGCTGTAAGCTTGGATGTGCAAATGATGCAGTAGACAATGGCTGAGAATTGGAAAGCAGAGTTACAATTGCATTCAGGGTTGTTATATTCATTTATGCACAAATACCTTTAGGAAAGGTATGAATCTGCCTTTTCACCCTCAAGCTATGGGTTAATTAGTAAGACGTGTATCAGTTAATCATTATTATCTCCAATTCTTACATTCTAAAATATTTTCTAACTTTAAATAACCTGCAAAAGGTTGATAAGCTATAAAAAACAATCTCAACAACTATACATATAACTACAATAACATTAGCATGACACATATATAATAACTTTACACATTTAAGATAGTTTTGATCATTTAAAAAATTGCAGAAGAATTTTCAAAATATTCTGTCTGGATTTTAAATGTGTTGATTCTTTCCTTTTGAAGGAAGAGACATAATAAATTTTGATGTCAAGGTTCATGGAAAAATGTTTAATACAGATTTTTCCTTCATTTCAATTAAATTCATATTTTACTTTGTGATGTAATAATGTTTTTTTTGGGTTTGTATTTTTCTTTTTTCTTACAGTTGCGAAGAACAGTTGATGAGCTTCGTAGTGTCAAGGATGTTAATGAAGAATTGACCAAACGTTGTCATTTTCTTGATGAACAGGTAAGACTAGCTTTAATTAGTTGAGTAAATTTATAACAAATATTTTTGCAACCAGGTATCCTTCCTGATGTCAGCTAGTTTGTCAGCTTCTGTTACATTTCATACTTGCGAGGCCCTGGCAAGAATACATTTTGAAAAGTGAAGTTTTGCTAAGAAGAAAAAAAAAATACAGTGCTACTCCAGAAATGTGTATGTTGGAAAAATTGGCATATCTGGTTATATAAGCTATTTCCTTATAAGGAAACATTTGACATTCATTGATCGAGCATCCAGTGTTACTTTTGGTTGTAATTTATAAATTTTTTCTGTTAAAAGAATTTTTCAAGAAAATAGGTTTCTCAAGTTCCATGCACTATCCATTTTCATTGTTGCTGCTGTTGAAAGTTCACAAGGTTTAAAAATGGATGGTCCTGACTAAGACCTAGGTTTCTTTTTGCCATTTTTAGCCAATGATCTAAGAAAGCAATTGTATACAGCTAATAGTTTAGATATTTTTGAACAAGTCTGATGATATGTATGACATCCATATGAAAGACTCGGTCTAATGAGACTATTTAAGAACATGACTCAGATTTTTAGGTCAGCGTTTTGGATTTGTAGCAGTTTGCAATGTTGGGTGAAACTACATCTAGTGCAGCCTATTCTGTTTAATTTCCTTATCTCTTATACTAAATTTGTTTTAACCAATCCATACACTAAAGTACTTGAATTTAGTATTAATGCCACATTTTGAATTTTTATGATGTCTTTAGGGTACATAGCCATCACTGCTTTCATTCCAATTCCAGATCAGTTTCTGTTTGGGAAACATTTATATTGAGTATCATTATGTCATGTCATTCAATCTTAAAGAATTCTTTGATATTAGTTTTGGAAATGGATTAACTACTGCTTTTTGTATTTGTTTGAATACAGTACCTATTTATTGTTAATTGTAAAAATCTACTTAAAAAAATATGTGGGTAATGTGTTCATTCTTTGTCAGCAGACTTTCAAATGGATAAATATTCTGCTTGATTTTTAGGTAAGAGCTCACAAGGCTTCTTACCTTTGATTTATTTCAAATTTGTTGAAAATATTTCTGTATAGTTGAACATTCACCATCAGAAGCTTTGCTACGCATCTTATGGAATATGACAAGTGTGACACTATGTCTGTGCTTCGGACACCAACATAGAAGAGGATGGTAAATGTTTTTTATGTCTTTTTTTTTTATGACGACCAGCAGTAGGGTCTTCAAAGCAGCCACCCACTTGACCAAAAAGAAATAAAATAATATATAAATAAATGAAAACTTTTGAGATCAAGTAGTACTTGGTTGGAAGCTACAAGATTCTGTTTGCAGGCTTATATTAACAGTCACAGTTGAGAATGAAGGTAGCTCTGGATCACTTGTTGGCATAACAGACTACCTGTTACTGAGTGCATGTTGTCAGTCAAGAGGTTGTCCCAAAGCCACAGATAATTATGTAGATAGGCAGAGGGTGTTAGAGTTCTTGCTAGTGGGAGAGAAAAGCTGATCTGTTATTGTTATATCATACCTATGGACTATTATAGGTATGTCCCAATCTGTATAAATACAGTAGAATATACTGCATGTGGTAGTCATTTGGATTCACTGAGGTTCTCTTGCAGTTCACCTCATTTCACTTCTAGTAGTTGATTACTTACTACATGCCACTGGAAAATCTTGTATGTTGTTCCTTTTATAAATATTATCATTCCATTTCCAACCTTCATTTTGGTTATTCTTATTCAGTAACCTTTTTCTAGGTTACTACATTTATACATATAGAAGAAATTGTTGCAAGTTGTTCTTACCTATCCACCCAATCAGTGCAAGTAAAACCCTGGAATAAACAACTGAATATATAGTAAACAGGATTTGTGTTTTTCATTTCTTGCCATAGTATTTATTTTCATCTTCTTGTAAACACACAATGAACCTTTCCCAGTTATTGTGCACACCAATGAAAAGAGAGATGCAACATGGGGTTATTTTTCCAGTTGGTGAAAAACTGACAGAGAACTTCATTGTATTTATATATTTTTTTTTTAATCATTTCACCCCAAGCAAAGCAATATCACCACTAAGATACAAGGGGTACCAAGTGTTAGACTAAGGAAAAAATACTATTATGGAGACAGAACAAAAGAACAAGAATTAAGAAAACAAAAGTTAATGATTGACATTGAACCTAAATTTTTGAAAATCAAAGTTGACTTGAAAGCAAGAAGGTGGAAGATAATTCCACAAGCTAGAAATGCAATAGAAGAAACTATTAGCATAGAACCTACGGTTACATGTAGCCATTTCAACTGTGATAATGATCAGACCTTGTTGCCAATCAAGTACTGTGCTTAAATTCATAAAATCTAGATACCATAGAGAGGAAAGTTCATTTGAACAATTACCATGAAAGTATTTACAGAAAAGGCAGAGAGGGAGGAAGGCTACATTGTGATGGTGGTGGGAAAATGACTGAAGCCAAGATGCCATTACAAATTATTCTTTGGATTTTCTCAAGAATCTCAAAATATACAGCAGGCACATCAGACCAGATGTGGCAGCAATATTGAATGCATTGACAGATGTTAGACTTATAAATATGTAAGATAGATTCTGTTGAGAAAAATTGTGTAACAAGATACAGAGAACCAATTTTCCTAGCAATTGATTCAATATAATTTTTCCACCATGTCAGCGGAAAACATTAATCCAAGAAGGCACAATTAGTCACTATCCTGGAAGTTAGCATCAGCCATGCTGATGGAAGGTAAAAAGGGGTTCTCTTAGATGATTAAAAGGGAGCAGTTTCATCTTGGAGGCATTAAAATTAAATACACCATTCTCTGCCCCTGTTAACAACAGAATGTAGATCATTTTTTAGATTACCTACCAACAGAAACCATTATGGTAAAGTTTTAGTATATCAGTACAGGAATCCCTTGATTAGTGCGGCTAATTTGTAACTATAAAAAATCAATTTTTGATTACTATGGTTATACTGAAGAATGTTTTACCGCACTAATTGAGTATTATGCATGGACTAATCGAATTTTGGTATATAAAAATTTTAGTACACTAATTGAATACTCATTAATCAAGGGATGTCTGTATTACATTGAAAGTTTTGCTTTGGTAAACTGAAAAGGGTGTTATCCTTCAACATGACAATAAAAAAACCTCATTCAGCAAACAAACTCTGAAGAAAATAATCCTTAGGCTGGAAAGTTTACTTTATTCTCCACACTCACCAGGCCATACATTTTTGAATTCTCATTTATTACAACCTCTAGAATAATTATTGGTGTCAGAAGATTAAAAGATAAAGATGTCAATTCAGATCCCTTGGATTTCTTTTAGCCAAAAAATGCTAGTATTTTAACAGGTTAAGAGAGAAAATGTGTGCTACAAAAATACAAAATTTGCTGCTGCTGTAGAATTGAGGAAAAAAAAAAACACTGACAGCTGTTTTCCCAGCTGGTAATCTTTGTAACTATCAGTCAGACTAGTTGCTTTAGCATAAGACTTATTCTCTCAGTGTTTGGGCTTGTTATCTTTTAACATAAAATTGCTATTCTTTTGCTGTTGGACTCATCACTTTAATATAAAATTTGTTATTTGGTCACCATAGGACTTGTAAGACTTATCTTTTCACAATCAGACTCCTTTTTTCCTTTTCTCTTTTTTCTCTCTTCTTCTTTTTTTTTTCTCTCTTCTTCTTTTTTTTTCTCTCTTCTTTTTTTCTCTCTTCTTTTTTTTTCTCTCTTCTTCTTTTTTTTTCTCTCTTCTTCTTTTTTTTTCTCTCTTCTTCTTTTTTTTTCTCTCTTCTTCTTTTTTTTTCTCTTCTTCTTTTTTTTCTCTCTTCTTTTTTTTCTCTCTTCTTTTTTTTTCTCTCTTCTTTTTTTTTCTCTCTTCTTTTTTTTTCTCTCTTCTTTTTTTCTCTTCTTTTTTCTCTCTTCTTTTTTTTCTCTCTTCTTTTTTCTCTCTTCTCTTTTTCTCTCTTCTCTTTTTTTCTCTCTTTCTCTCTTTTTTCTCTCTTCTCTTTTTCTCTCTCTTCTCTTTTTCTCTCTTCTCTTTTCTCTCTTCTCTTTTTCTCTCTTCTCTTTTTCTCTCTTCTCTTTTCTCTCTTCTCTTTTCTCTCTTCTCTTTTTCTCTCTTCTCTTTTTCTCTCTTCTCTTTTTCTCTCTTCTCTTTTTCTCTCTTCTCTTTTTCTCTCTTCTCTTTTCTCTCTTCTCTTTTTCTCTCTTCTCTTTTTCTCTCTTCTCTTTTTCTCTCTTTCTCTTTTTCTCTCTTCTCTTTTCTTCTCTTTTTCTCTCTTCTTTTTTCTCTCTTCTCTTTTTTCTCTCTTCTTTTTTTTCTCTCTTCTTTTTTTTTCTCTCTTCTTTTTTTTCTCTCTTCTTTTTTTTTCTCTCTTCTCTTTTTCTCTCTTCTCTTTTTCTCTCTTCTCTTTTTCTCTCTTTTCTCTTTTCTCTCTTCTCTTTTCTCTCTTCTCTTTTTCTCTCTTCTCTTTTTTCTCTCTTCTCTTTTTCTCTCTTCTCTTTTTCTCTCTTCTCTTTTTTTCTCTCTTCTCTTTTTCTCTCTTCTCTTTTTTCTCTCTTCTCTTTTTTCTCTCTTCTCTTTTTTCTCTCTTCTCTTTTTTCTCTCTTCTCTTTTTTCTCTCTTCTCTTTTTTCTCTCTTCTCTTTTTCTCTCTTCTCTTTTTTCTCTTCTCTTTTTCTCTCTTCTCTTCTTCTCTCTTCTCTTTTTCTCTCTTCTCTTTTTCTCTCTTCTCTTTTTTCTCTCTTCTCTTTTTTCTCTCTTCTCTTTTTTCTCTCTTCTCTTTTTTCTCTCTTCTCTTTTTTCTCTCTTCTCTTTTCTCCCCTTTATCCTCCCTCTTTCTCGTTTTTCCTCTTTTTCCATTCTCTCTTCCTCCTCTTTCTTTTTCCTCCTTTTCATTTTCATAAATGAATAATGAATCTCTTTGGTTAATTTTCAATAAAAATTATTTCATTTACTCTGTCAACAGTCAGCTTATTGTATTGCTCTTCAACAACCTGATCCAGAATTTATCCAAAAATATTTTGTCACCTTCAAGTTTACATATAACTGACAACATAAAAACTGCACTTGCTAATATTGTTTTCAATTTCTATACTTTTATTTGCTAGATGGCTTCTTTACAAGATGAAAAATTAAGTTTATCTTCTGAAGTTGACCGACTGACTGAACGTTTAAACCAAGCAGAAAACCTTGATGACCCTGGGTAAGTATGATTGAAAGGAATAAACATTTGGCCACTTTTACATTATCCAGATACAAGTTAAATGTAATGTATATGAAAACTGAATCCATTGACATGGCAATTTTAATATGTAAAAGATAAGAATAACTCCATAAAAAAACAAAGCATGTTTGGAAGTAATTGGTGTTTGATGAGGATATGAATTACTATTGAAATATTAACCAAAGTAATTATATTACTTGTCTCTTAATCAAGTAATAGCTGATCGCTCATATCTGAGTATGCCTGTCTACTAGGTTGGCTAACTAATACCTGTTGCAGACATTTGCTCAGGTACATTTGTGTTTGTTCAGCACCCACAGAAATTACCTGTGGTTTCTACTGCAACTATGCTGAATGAACCATAGTTACAGTTTCTGGAAGAAAGTGTATCATCTTGCATGATCAACAGCTTGTACAAGTACACTGAAACCCTTAGTCACAATGACTTGTGACTTCATGCTAGCACAACCATCAATGGCTCTAAAATAGTTCTGTCTACCCAATTTCACTTGCAAGGCTTGGGTCAATCCATTGTATGATTTTCAGGCACTTTGCAAAGGTGCTGCATGATGGAATCACATCTCCAGGCTGATAATATCAAGATGTCACCTTCCTGACATGGTAAGATTCAAACAGCTTGGAAAGCAAATGTTCAAACCACTTGGCTGTGTGCTTAATCAAGTACGGGTTTATTTAATGGCTAGCATGATTTCATAATTTTCAAGTAAAATCCAAGTAATGATTATAAAGTCAAACTACCCCCCTGCTGTTCTGCCATTCATTCACTTAAACTCAAGTAACTTGGTTGATAGGAATAGGAGGAGTGGTAAAGGGTAAAAAATTACTTAGAGCCACAAAAGCTTAAAAGAATTGCATACAGCCATGATTGTCCATATTCTGAAAAGGCATGGCACATAAATGAAGGCAGATAAAAAAAAAAAAAAAAAAATAATGAAGTTTAATGCAATCTTCTTTCATTTTCACCTCATCTGGCTTTGTGTAGCATTTTTTCATTTTTCATAATCAACTCATAAGAAACTCTACTCAAGTTTGAATAAATTTCACTACTAATGTCAGTATGACTTAAGGTAGTAAAAAAAAAAAAATTAAGCAAAGAGTTACTAAATACCTTATTTTATACTGTATTCAAGAATTCTACCAATTCTATATATTAGACCCAATCATAAAACATTGAAGCAACCATTTAAGCAATTTGATACTAATTCTTGCATAGCATATTAACCTGAGTATTGGTCAAAATCCCACATTACTTAATAAAAAAAAATAAAAAAAATACTAAAGTTAAGCTTAGTCACGTCACAAGTCCTGTAACCATTAGTGTTGTAGGGTTACCAATTTTCCCTGGTCTTTTGAGCAGTAGATTTATCCATTGTTTCCTGTTTAGAATTGGGTTTCCAGTTCCTTCTAAAGTTTTTTTCATTCTCTTTCACTTCCAGCAGCTCCTTGCATCTTAGTGACATTATCATATTGCCTGGAGTGTATTGATTAAAATAAAAAAAAAGCTATAGTAGCAGTGGGTGTGTCTAGGGCAAGGTAGCTTCCCTTCTCAGGCTAGGTTTGAATTTAAATTTATGCCTTTCCCAAAGGTGTTTGTGGAAAAGGGATCATAATGAGCTCATCTGGTATTTGAACTGATTCACAGATTTCTCTTTCTAAATTGTTGTTACACTAACTGCACATCTATAAACTTAGTAAATACTGTTAAAGTACAAAATACCAGTAGGCATTATTGACTAATTGTTTTCATCTTATTTTGTTGCTTTTCAATGTTTTTTTTTTTTTTTTTTTTTTACATTCTATGACTGAAGCAGCGAGTATCAGAAAAAGAAGTAACCTTTTAACTTACAAGATTACATCATTATGTTGCAGAGGAGAAGGTGAAATAAGTTTGAAAACTGTCAGAAAGCTTTTTAGTCACATGAGTTTGGCTGTGTGTGTAAAACTTCACTCCTCCACAAGCATTTAATTTTTGATGTATGGAACAAGGCTAACAAGGCAATCAAAAGATGACAACATACCTAAAACAATAACAATATTTATACAAATAACACAATTATTAAGAATAAACTGCTCAAAATATTTAGCTGAGTTTCAAAGTTCAGTAATGTTAATTGAGCAAATAAAAATATTTAAAATGTTCCTTCAAAACAGTGTCTTTTGATACAGAAATTTTACAATGCAAAATTAAGAGTTGCTTACTTTTAACTAGGAAATTAATTATTTAAAAATTGTTCTTTGAAATAAAGAATTTTTTTTATCAGGTCTCACAATAAAAGGAGTTTGCTTTTAGAAGAAATGTTCTTGTGAATTTGTTAAATGTTTTGTGTAATATGAATATTGTGAGAATGTGTTTGATAAAATAGAACTTTGTATATTTACTTGATGTTTCAAGAAGTTTCTGTTTGGTACTAAATAGAATTTAGTTTTTGTACTTCTGAAAATAATTAAAATAAGTCTTGCCACTAAAAGAAGGTGTTCACCAAAAGCAAATTTTGTTAAAATAGAACTGAGTGAAGAAGTTTCTTGAATTATGTCCTGAAGGGCTGAAAATGTCTTTGATAAACTTGTAGCTTCAGGAAAAAACATTTTCTTTAAATAATTTCTTGCTGGCGAAGAATTGGGAAAATACTGTAATATCCAAGTTATTTCTTTAGCGTGGCAGTGATGTGTCTGGTTGACTTTTCTTTTGTCTCACTGATTGGATACGTTTGCACTCCTTATTTATTGGTTGTCCGTCACCTGACAGGCTTCAGGCTACTGTTAAAAAATATTGGTAGCAAAACCTGATTGCGTAGACGTCTTTCATATTAATTGTTATTCAGCCAATCAGCGATTAGAAAAATAGCAAGGTCTGTGTGATCCACTTTTTGCACAAAATTTTCACTTTTTTAAGAAGACATATAGTAATTGCATTGCATTATTTTTTAACTAATGATTTGTTGAGAAGAATTTTAAAACTGAAGTGGAATGCTAAAATTAGGTCAGATAGGTTTACATCTGACATAAGCCTTATTGACTAAACTATGACATTCAAATTTAGTCACATAGCTATATTCTTCATTTTGTGATTTCTACATGCTATATGATTGTTTATACATTGAAATTGATAAAGATAACAAAGCTTTATCTAAGCTTACGGGCATATCATATTTAAACGCTGTTTCTTGTATGATCTCTGAAGTTAAGCAATGTCAAGCCTGGTCAGTACCTAGATACATGATCACTTGAAAATACCAGGTGCTGTAATGTGTGGTGGTATAATGAATAACAGCTTGGAATTTTTAATCAGAGAGCAGTTTCAGTTCCAGTCAAGTTTGTGATATTCACTTACATACAAATACCATTGAGAAAGGTATGAATCAACCTCTTCTCCCCTGTCTATGGGTTAATTAGTTGGACTTTTATCACTAAATTATTATCTAAAAAAAAAAAAACTAATCTAAAAATATTTCCTGGCTTTAAATAAACTGCAAAAGGTTGTGAAGAAGCTGCCTGAGTGGAACTTCCTCCTTACCATTTGAAGGGAATGAAAATGTGCCAGCTATGTGTACACAGCATGGCAGGTCTTGGACTTATGATGAAAAGCCTTTATTTTATTTATATTTCAACATGACTTCTTTCTTTATCAATGCACAGTACTTTAATTACTTAAACCAAACATTATACAGTGAAATTTACATAAAAATTGAGTGTATAATTGTCAGGCTACAAACTTATTGATCCACCTTACACTTGTACTTTTGCTTTCTGTGATGACTTATTGATGGTGTAATGACACTATGGATCTCTTACATGACTGGATCAGGACATCCATATAGAAGTGGACAGTAAATGATTTTATTTGAATCTTAAGTGTGTTGTGTTTTTGTTCTGAAAAATGTATAAGGCAGCCACTTATTTAACTAAAAGGTAATTAAATAAATGAATGAAAACTTTTGGGAACAAGTGCCACTTTGCCGGAAATTGGAAAGTTCTGCCCAAAGGCTTATATAAACAGTCACAATTAGAATGGTAAGTTTCAAGCTACATGTTGGTGTATATAGGCTCTCTGTTGAACATGTGTGATTAGAGTAGTTCTAAGCCACTCATTGGTTAGTTGTGATAGATAGACAGAGGGATGGTAAGAGAAGGTCAAAGTTCTTAGTTTGAAAAAGAAGGCTGATCTGTTTGTCTATCATGGCAAAAGTTGTCACTAGTGTTATCTACCTTTTCCCTAGACTGTGCAAGTTGTTTCTGAATAAACAACCAGGTATATTGGAAATGGGATTTGCATTTTCATTTTTCAGCATGTTTTTCATTACCAGCTTTTGTTTCTTTGTGGACATAACAACAAACTTTTCCCAGTTTTTTGTGCACACTGATGTAAATAGAAATTGAAACACAACATTGGAGAGGTTCAGTTGGTAACAATGGGAGAGAGGCTCATTGTAGATTTACACAATTTTCTCTCTGCTGCCCAGATTTATATAGTCTTTCCTAAATGTTAATGCCAGCCAGATGTCATTGCCACTACAAGCTTTGAAACCCCCCCACCACTATTTTATTGTTTAACAGAATGATCCTTGTCATCTACTGATATATACCGTTGTTTGTTCTATTTAAATAGAACTCCTGCAGGAAGGCGTTATCATCAATTACAGCGCCAGATAGAGCGATTACAAGAAGAAGTGTTAAAGTTGGAGTCAGGCATGTAAAACTAATTCTTTTTATTTTAATATTATATTTTCTTTGTAAAAAGAAAGTTTAAAAGCAGAGATAATCTTGGTGAGGAGAGATAACTTTTCTTACATTTGATAATATTTAGGCATTCTTCTTTCTTCGCCCTCACTTTTATTTCTCTTTTTCCACCCTCACTTTTATTTCTCTTTTTCCACCCCTCACTTTTATTTCTCTTTTTCCACCCTCACTTTTATTTTCTTTTTTCCACCCTCACTTTTATTTCTCTTTTTCCTCCCCCTTTTACTCTTTTTTTATTTCTTTCTTTTTCCACCCTCACTTTTATTTCTCTTTTTCCACCCTCACTTTTATTTCTCTTTTTCCACCCTCACTTTTATTTCTCTTTTTCCACCCTCACTTTTATTTCTCTTTTTCCACCCTCACTTTTATTTCTCTTTTCCACCCCTCACTTTTATTTCTCTTTTTCCACCCTCACTTTTTTTATTTCTTTTTTCCACCCTCACTTTTATTTCTCTTTTTCCACCCTCACTTTTATTTCTCTTTTTCCACCCTCACTTTTTATTTCTCTTTTTCCACCCTCACTTTTATTTTCTTTTTCCACCCTCACTTTTATTTTCTTTTTCCACCCTCACTTTTATTTTCTTTTTCCACCCTCACTTTTATTTCTCTTTTTCCACCCTCTTTTTATTTCTTTTTCCACCCTCACTTTTATTTCTCTTTTCCACCCTCACTTTTATTTCTCTTTTCCACCCTCACTTTTATTTCTTTTACTTTTATTTCTCTTTTCCACCCTCACTTTTATTTCTCTTTTTCCACCCTCACTTTTATTTCTCTTTTTCCACCCTCACTTTTATTTCTCTTTTTCCACCCTCACTTTTATTTCTCTTTTTCCACCCTCACTTTTATTTCTCTTTTTCCACCCTCACTTTTATTTCTCTTTTTCCACCCTCACTTTTATTTCTCTTTTTCCACCCTCACTTTTATTTTCTCTTTTTCCACCCTCACTTTTATTTCTCTTTTTCCACCCCTATTTTTTATTTCTCTTTTTCCACCCTCACTTTTATTTCTCTTTTCCACCCTCACTTTTATTTCTCTTTTTCCACCCTCACTTTTATTTCTCTTTTCCACCCTCTTTTTATTTCTCTTTTTCCACCCTCACTTTTTATTTCTCTTTTTCCACCCTCACTTTTATTTCTCTTTTTCCACCCTCACTTTTATTTCTCTTTTCCACCCTCTTTTATTTCTCTTTTTCCACCCTCACTTTTTTATTTCTCTTTTCCACCCTCACTTTTATTTCTCTTTTCCACCCTCACTTTTATTTCTCTTTTCCACCCTCACTTTTATTTCTCTTTTTCCACCCTCACTTTTATTTCTCTTTTTCCACCCTCACTTTTATTTCTCTTTTTCCACCCTCACTTTTATTTCTCTTTTTCCACCCTCACTTTTATTTCTCTTTTCCCCCTGCCCATTCCCCATGGATTGATAAACTGTAAAATAACAATCAATCAATCCATAAAAAAAAAACTTTTCTCCTAGACCTTGTCTCTGCCTTTTCCTCATCACTCCTAACAAGAGTTCAAATCTTGCTGGTGACTTATTCTTTGTTTCCAATCTTTTCTAGAATAATTACCTGATAGTTAAAAAGAATAAAAATTGACAATGTTTTATCTAAGAAATTCAGAGGACATAACTGTTTATTAAATCTTTGTAATGATTTTCATTGTCTTTTTCTTATAGCCCGCGATAACTACATTGCCAGACTTGACATAATGACTGAAGAGTTCAGGGATTTACAACAGAAAGTATGTTTATTAATTTTCATGTTCTATTTTATTTTTACTTCATTTGTTTATTGGTTTTTAATTTCCTTTAGTATCAACAAAAGTACTTGTAATAATACTTATAAATGTATAAGTAATTAAAATACAAACTGATTATCTACTTTCATTTCTTAGTATTATTAACATTCAGTTGGTCATGTAACAGTTGTTGGTATTGAAAATTGAATTGACATGCCAATTTGGGATTGTTTGGTTGCATTAATGTATCCTTTTTTCTTCCCCCAGAATTGGGTTAAATAGTAGAGTAGACTGGGTTTTCTAGCTTTTTGTAGTAATCAAGCTAGGAAAAGGACAACTCTGAATTCCAATGTATAGAGAAGGCAACGAAGAAACACAAGAAATCATGGCAATTCTCAGATAAAGGAATCACTGGAGAGGCATGATTATTTATAAAACCTTGGATAGCTAGTAGTTCTGGTTAGAAAATATATGACAACATTTAGCCTTCTATAGGTGACTTTGTTTATCAAGTAATGTTTGAATTTTGAAGTTATGTTATGTCCTGCTATGGAAACAGCTAAAACAACTTTAACTGAAATCAATATTAGAGATACTACACCCTGAAAAAAAAATTCCATGAAAAGGAAAGTAATACAAATGAATAAAGCAGTGTTGGAGGTTAAGTAATCAATATATATTATTATGTTAGTAATTTAGTAATAAGTAAGTTAGTAATAAATTAATGTTTTTATTTACAGAACATAGAACTTAACCAACAAGCTGAGGAAGCAAGAGCATTAAAAGATGAAGTTGATGAACTACGCTATTTGGCATCTCAACAGGTAAATAGATATATTTTTCATTTTCTTTTATCTTTTTACTATTTGGCACATAGGACAGAAAGTACAACACAGAAATCTGAAGTTGCATTGGAATAGCAAAAGACCTTCCAAAAACTAAGCAAATTATTAAGAAACAGAAAAATATCATTAGAAAATATAGTTAGAGTACTGAACTATGGCAGCAAATTCACATTTATATAGATTACTGTATTCGGAGACACATTTTCTTTAATAAGATATTTGATATTTATGTCAATAGACATTAATTTCATTGTTTAAATAAGATGGGTATGTCTACTCAGAGATGTGTACCCACTAAATATAGTGTTTTTAATAAGTATACACCCACACCACCACCATCTACTAATTTGTTTTTTCAATCGATTCACCCTAAGCAAGGTGATAATGCCACTAAGATGCAAGGGGTTACTGGAAAACTAGTGATAAACCTCTATTCCTGTTCAAAAGTCTAGGGAGGTGTGTGAACTGGACAATTGGTGAACCTATCTTTACATATAAAATCTAGATCTGGTCTGGCACAAAGCTTTTCAGATTAACTTCCAGTTATATTTTATTCCAGTGTGTTGATTTTAGCCATCCTTATGTATTTTCCAAAGAGATGAGTAAGTTGATGAAACAGTCTATCACAGTTGAGAAAAACTATTATAATAGTGGCATTTTTTTTTAGTTTTACTTCCTGTGATGTAATGAGAAAAGGTATAAAGAAAGAATTTGTGAGGCCAAAAAGGTTTGTCACTTTTGACTGTTAACTGTGCAAAACAAAGGAAGTATTTTGCATTTAATGTTCTATATTGGTGTTAAAATGAGAAGTTTTGATGTTCTTTATTTGTTAAAAATATAATTTCTTTCTCTTTCAATAGGCTCGGAATGAAACTTTAATCCAGTCATATAAAAAGAAACTTGGTGAGTTCATTTCATTTCATTTCTTGTATGAACACTATAAATGGTAATGGTAATATTAGCCATTTCCCCTATAAGGAAACATTTGGCATTCATTGACCAAGCAGCCAGTACTGCTTTTAATTGAAGTTTATAAAATCTTTCTCTTAAAACAACTTTTCAGGAAAACTGGTTTCTCAAGTTCACTAGCTTTTATTGCACTTTCCATTATTGATGGTGTTTTCCTTCCTAAACTTTCGTTTGAAGTAGTGTGGAATGTTAACATCTTGATTGTCATTATTTGTGATATCCATTTTAGTTGTTACTGCTGCTGATAGTCATAAAGTGATTTGGTTCCTGTTATTTCATACAGCTCATGGCGCATGCTTTATTTTTTTTTTTAAATTTGATATGTGCAGGATGCGATGGACAAATTGTTGTCTAAATTACACAAAAATGAAAATAATGCTAATATGTCATTTTAAGAGATATATTTACCAAAATTACACAAAAATATCTTGAAATATTAGAGTAAATTTATTCAATAAAATCGCCATTAACTTCAACCACAGTCTCCAAACAACTTTGGAAACTCCTGCAACTCTTCTGGTCAGTCTCCTTGTTTAAGTTGGTGTATGTTGCCATAATCCTTGCCTTCAGTTCATCTTTGGCATTATAAAGAGTTTTGTTGGTCTCTTGCTCAGCTGCACCCCATGCATAATAATCAAAGAGGTTGCAGTCTGGGGGAGTTAGGTGGCCAGATATAAGTGTAGCAAAGTTGCCTGGCAAAAGAAAATTAAACGTGAAAAAAAAACATAAGTTGTCAAAAAGAGTTAAAGGATAGAACGATAGATATACTGAGAAAAGCAGTGAAAATCATTCTATCTATTTTTTTCTTCTTACAAGCAAGGACAACCGATAAAAAGATTGGTAACTAGGTTTCCTTGTTTTACTGTTGAATAGCTAGTCTTTAAGAATACTGTGTCTAGAAATGTATTTTACCATGTAAGTTTTAATACCATCTTCCAAATTTTTTTTTTTTTTTCACTTATGTGGAAGGCACTCATCAAAATGAATATAATAACCAATCTGGTACAATCTAGACATCAAAGGGGCTAAAAATAATCAAGGTGGTGAAAATTATTTTCAATGCATGATTGAATATTTTGAGTTTGTTCATTATCTCTCTTGTTGACTATTCAGAAAACTTTAAATCACTTCAGTCATGTTTGAGACACGGTGGAGTAATGGATAGCGGCTCGGATTCAGGAATTGGAGAGTCGAGTTCAAATTCCATTTGAATCCATTACATTCACTTACATGCTAATACCCTTGGGAAAGGTATTAATTCTCTTCTTCTCTAAGGCTATAGGTAAATAGCAGGACAGACCTGGTTCTATAGCTTTAGATGGCAACTGGTCTACCGCAGAAAGAAATGGCAATCTACTGTGGGGGAAAAAAATCTGCCTTGTCAGTCATGTATCAAAAGATGCATGGCACATAACTGATGTTTGATCATTCATAACGTCTTTTCTGTAAACTACACAAAACAGTCGAGTCATATTTTAATCTTTCTTTTAAAAAGAAGGCGGGGTGCCCATAATATGTTGAAAATGTTACTTTCCTTTCATGTTCAATGTCAGAAGCAAACAAAAATAGTCTAATTTTGACAATTTGTGTAGAAGAAATACCCTTCAAAAAAGTGTGAGAGTGCCAATGTCATCGGCTCAATAATACAAAGAATCATTCCATTGTTTATAACAGAAAACAGTTGATGGAATAACCTGTATTAGAATACCTAGCATTGGATGAACCTAGTAACATTGAACAAGTGATGAGAGGAAGAAAGCTGGCATGGAAAGAGTGGATTTGCAACTATTTAGACATGCAACTCTGTGAATTTATAACAGTTTGCTTTATTTTTACTACACTGCTATAAAATCAAATGCAATTTTTCTTTTTTTTTTTTTTTTTTTTTTTATAATAAAGTTAAAGCAAAATGTCTTCTTAATGATGATGAATGTAAGAACAACTTTTTGGGCAACCTAATATTTTAAAGTGGCTTGTTAAGTTTCATGTTTGTATACATTGTATACAGGTCTTTCATCTAAATCCTCTGATCCCTTTCTTTCATAGACAGGATACTTTGGGCACTTACTGTAGCACAATGTTTGGTAAACTTGTTGACTAATTTACTAGTATAGTGTTTGAGCCTCACTTAATGACCTATACTTATGGCCTTGTATCAGATTTAATCTTAACTTGATAAATAAATGTCTTTATTTTATTCAAAATCTTTTGTTTCTTTCTCCAGAGGAAATGGGAGAATTACGAAATAAATTGAATGAACTTCATGAAAGCAACAATAAACACATTGAAGAAAAATTTGGATTGGAAACAGTGAGTATATAGCTTTATTTCTTATAGTTTTATCCTTTTCATTTGTTTCATGTGCAAACCAAATTGAAATTAATGCCTTGAGTAACTTATTTACTTTTTTTGTTTTAATTTTTCTAAGGGAGACAACTCTCATTGTGCTCTACTACAGACTTTTCTTACACTCCGTTCATTTTTTATTTTTTTTTTTAAATTTTTTTTTTTTAACAGTAAGGTTCACCCCATTACAAGACCTGAGGCTACTCAAGGTAGAGGGTTATGCTAGGAGGCAATTTCTCAGATAGGAGTGGAAGATAAGTTAACCCTAGCATTGAACAGGTTAAGATTGTAGTGATTGGGGAAACATCCACTTGAGAGTCAGTTCCAAAAACAGTAGTTCATGTAAAGAAGCTGTTCGAGTGGATGGAATATGGAGAAAATGTGGGTGGTTTGCTATAATGCAAGTTGCATAGCATGTCCTTGCCATGAAGGTTTGAATTGGTGTGACCAGGAAATGTACTTTGTGCATTTTCTGTAGAAGTGGCGATATAACAGTAAGAGGCTTACCACATCCCACCTGTGGAAGAGAGGTTGGATGGTGGAGAATAATTCATCACCCACAAGGGCTTGGAGATGTTTTTGGACTCTATCAAGGCTGGAGAGCAAGTTCCTGCTTCTTTAGAATATTCGATTGTACGAGTCGGTCAGAATGAAATGGCCAAAAGCATAATGAGGTTTCAGACTTGCCAAAGTAGCATTTAATTTTTTAAATACATATTCTCCTTAATTTAATCTTAATTCATTCCAGGCTAAATTCCTAACCTTATATTCTGAAAAAACTTAAAACTTTAATAAAATTTCAACTTACAAAAATTGCTAGAGCATAAAAATCTCCTAAGCCAGCCAAGCATAGAAATGAATCAATATGGGAACCAGTAATTTAAAAATTGTTATAATTTTAATTATTGCTGTTTTTCTCTAGCTCTCTGGAGAGAGCTAGAAAAACAACAATTAAAAAAAATAAATATGAGCTTTTTAAAAAAATGGTTGCTGAGACATTAGATTTATATGGGTATGTCCACTATTTCGGCATAAATTTTCTATATTGAAGTTTTGAATTTTTTACAATGAAAAACATTCTTGAAGATTTCATTTAACTTTAATTGAAAGTTTAATAACTAAATTTACGATTTCTATTAATTAAACAATTCTGTGTATTTCAGATAGAAACTATATACATTTGATTGTCAAATTTAATTTCAAATTTTTAATTTTCTTAAAACGGCCATTTTCTTAATTTTAAAGAAATTTGTAAACAAACACAAATTTATCGATTTTTAAAATATTTAAAAAAAATTTGACACGTTATTTTTAAAATTAAAAAATTAAAGTTAAAAAGTAATCTGATTTCAAAGAAATCTTTGTTACTTATAGCATAAAAAATAATATACAAGCAATTATTTACGAGCGGTCCCGTTCATCTGTTCGAACTTATTGATACTGGTTGATTCGAGCCGATAACAGCTACTACTGATGACCATAAATGACATAATTTTTAAGTCTGAGTTTTTAAATAATTATTCTATTTTAGTATGAACACACTAATGGAAATACAATACATAAAATAAAATTATTTATGAAATAGTAAATGAAAAAAAAAGAAAAATAATTTAAAATTTAAAGTTTACACTTTTACAACTGATCGGAAAATACAATCTGTTAATAAACGAAATGTTTTGAAAAAAGCCACGTAAAGGGACAAAACCCTTAGATCACGTGACCTTGTTATTAATGGCAATTTCTGTATAACATGGAAATAAGGAATGTATTAAGTAAAAAAAATACAACATAAAAAATTATTTTTAAAAAAGTAGCTCAACTAAATTTATTAAACTTAGCAAATTTGGATTCGTAAATTTTTTCTACTTAATTACTACATAATATTGAGGGCCCTCCTAATACAGAGCTTTACGCGATGTTAAACTATTATAAATTATTATAATTAAAACTTCTTAAAAAACGAAAAATTCTTGTAAAATTAATTATTCATCAGAAAAAATTATTTCTTCAGATAATAATGTCTTAATATTACTTATTTACAAAAGCAATTAAAAGCTTTTCTAATTAAGTAATACTGAGTTTTATTGATTCATTATTTTTCAAAGACAAGATTTTCAGTTAAGTAGCTCAAATTTGTGAAAAAAAAAAAGTAGGTTATTTACCATCTCCAAAGACTCCTTCTTTTAACAAAAAATAAAATTGAGGAGCCAAAAAGGTTTTGGGCGAAATTTCATGAAATTAACTAAGTGGGGGTAACATATTTAAAAAAATATTTTTTACAAAATTTTTTCTAAAACAAAATATTTGAAAAATAATTTCATTCATTTTGAATAAGTCCTGAAAATTTCATTAAGATTGGACAATTATTCTATTTTTACAAAATTTCCAAATCAATATATTTTCAACGGTAAAAAACAAAAAAAAACTATGTTATTTTAAAGGTCTTGTGATGGCGTAAACAAAGACGACTTTAAGAAACGTGTTAGAAAATATTAAAAATTTCAAAAATAATTAAAAAACTTTTTTCTTTTCTCTAAATAATAACATAAGCATTTTGACGATAATACTTTATTTTCTTTAAGTTTGTGGCATTTTTCATTTACGCTATGCTGTTTTTCCGCGAAAACAGTGGACATACTTAGATTTATAAGTATCAAACATTCATTCACTGATGTTCCCAAGGACACATGGCCCAGTAGATAAAAGCATTGGTTGAGTAATCCAAAGAGTGACTTGACTCAAATAGTTCAAAGCAGAGGGAACAAAAACTTGGAGAGTTGAGTTATTAAAGGGAATTAACTGAAACTGAGAAACTCCAGAAAAGGCATGGCATGTGGAAGTAGAACAATCTACCCCAGTGGTCTAAATAAAGGGTTCAGTTTGAAATTTCAATGTATATCACCTGAAGAAGGCTGGAGCGTACAATAGCCGAGATGTCATGAATATGACAGTCTGAACATTGTAAATAGTGTAAATACCTCTTCTTAGAAATATAGACAGAAAAATTACTTAGTTTAGCATATATATGCATTGTAAGATAAATTTTAATTTTCATTCACTCTACTCATTTACTTTGGGACAAAACAAAAACAAAGATAAATCCATTCTTTCTTGTGTCAGCATTCTGTATACAGATGTGTTGGTAGTGTAAGAGTTATTGGCACAAAAGGTGGAAATTCTGGTCTATTCTGTTTTGTTCACGTTGTCCTAATGCCACTAGTAAAGGCATAAACCCATCTTCCTTTAGCTAAGAGTTAAACAGCATAGCAGACTGAACACTTTTACAGCTTACTGCCACATCACATTGAAATGACAATTTTCATATGATTACCAAAGTTAAGCTACATCAAGCCTAGTCAGTACATAGATGGGTGGCCACTTAGGAATGCCAGTTGCTTTAAGCTTGGATGTGTGGATGGTGTAATCAATAATGGCTCGGAATTGTTAACTGGAGAGCCGAGTTTTAATTCCTATTGGGTTCATTATATTCATTTACATACAAATACCCTTGGGAAAGGTATGAATCTACCTCTTCTCCCCACAGCAATGGGTTAATTAGTAAGACTTGTATCACTAAACCATTATTTAAAATAAAATTCTTATAATCTAAAAGTATTTTCTAGCTTTAAATAATCTGCAAGTAGTTAATAAGCTGTAAAAAGCAAATCAGTCAATCAATTAAATACTGATTAGCTGCATAGGCATGTCTTTTAGAGTTATTTACATTCTCTCGTATATAAATGTATAGAAATGACTGGCAACAAACTAAGGGATCAGTCTGTATTTTGCTTGTAATATAGAATTGAGCCCCACTTTTTATCAACAATATAATTTCTTGTTTGTTTTTCAAATTCTGAATACAGCTCTTCTCCCCCAGCTATGGGTTAATTAGTAAGACCTGTATCACTAAACCAATATATCTAAAAAAAAAATTCTAAAAAACTAAAAATATTTTTGGCTTTAAATAACCTGCAAGGAGTTGATAAGCTATAAAAATCAAATCTGTCAATCAGTAGACTTTTTGCTTTGAGTGACAGCCATTCTGGTAGAAGGAAAACCCTAAATTCCAACTCAAGACAAGTGTTTGGAGACTTGTGGTACAGTGCATGCATCATTTCTGTTGTCAGTTCTTCTGAAGTGTGGCTGGTTCTATGCAAGTGTTCATTACTATAATCAAATCATATGTGCAAACAGAACTATTGGTTCATCATATGTCAAAACTGAGGCAAGAATTCTTGCAGCATTCTGGTTTTGACCAATAGAATTTCACTCTTGGCTATAGATTTTTATTTATAGTAAAAAATACTACCTATATATTTATGAGCATAAAGAGCTATTTAAACTTTAGTACTTTGTAGGTGACTATTTTTGCCATGCAAAATGTAAGTCCTGCCAATGCAAGTTGAATTTGAATTTCTAGGTTGTGTACTTGACTGAAATTGAGAGCCAGGTTACTGCAATTTCACATATATAGAACTAATATATAAAACACTGTATTTTAAGGGGATTCCATATACAGTAAACAGAAAATTAATATTTATAAATGAGTGCTAAATGTTAAGGATCATTATAAATTTTGATGCAACAGAAGGGTCATATTGATGTTAAATTTTACTTTTTAATCTCTTAGGAACTTCGAAAAGCTTCACAGCAAAAAGCCCAACTTGATTTAATGGTGAGCCAAGTGACGAAGCTTGAGAATGATCTTGCTTATCAAATGCAGAGGGCGGATAAGAATGAAGTTGATTTTAAAATGGCAAGAAGTAAATTGACAAACTTACAGAAAGAAAAAGAGGTAAGCCTTAAAAGTTACTTCATGATTTTCATTTTGGAAAAAAAATATCATGACCGTAATAGTATTTTTTTTGCTAGCTCTCTCTCTCCTCCTATTACTCTCCCCACCATTACTCTTACTCTCCCCCCTATTCCCTATCTCTCTCTGTCCCCCCATTCCCTATTCCCTGTCTCTCTGTCCCCCTATTCCCTGTCTCTCTGTCCCCTATTCCCTATCTCTCTCTCCCTATTCCTCCCTCTCTCTCCCCTATTCCTCCCTCTCTCTCCCCTATTCCTCCCTCTCTCCCCTATTCCTCCCCTCTCTCTCCCCTATTCCTCCTCTCTCTCCCCATTCCTCCCTCCCCTATTCTTCCCATCTCCTTCTCTCCCTTCCCTCTCCCCTCCACTGAAATTAATAGTTATATATTGGCTCTGTCCCATAATAATTGGTGTATTTGTTTGTTTTTTTTTTTGTTTTTTTTTTTTATTATTTGAAACCCTTAATGAAAAATTATTCCCTCTGTCCCATAATAATTGATACATTCATCTATTTTGATTATTGGCATCCCTTATTAATTTTTTCTGTCCCATAATTTTTTTACATTCATCTATTTTGATTATTGGCATCCCTTATTAATGAAAAATTATTCCCTCTGTCCCATAATAATTGATACATTCATCTATTTTGATTATTGGCATCCCTTATTAATAAAAAATTATTCCCTCTGTCCCATAATAATTGATACATTTGTCTATTTTTATTTTGATTGACAACATTTATTAAAGTTTTTATTTTGTTGATGTCCTAGCAAAAACTTTTTTATGCTTAAACTTGACAGTAGTAATTTAAAAAAAATTGGATTTTGTTTATAAATATAACAATTATTTTTAGACATATTATACCCTAAGTGTCACCACTATTATGGAACAGAGGAAATACATTATAAATGCAATATTTATGCTCAGAATGATATCAGAAATAAAGTACATCACAAAGAACTTTTGGAACTTCTAGGTAACCTTGATATATTTAGGAAGGATATTAGAATAATCCAGAACCTATATTAGCAGCAAACCACTTGCATACAGATAAGAAATGGATACAGTAAATATACAAAAATAGAAAAGGGTGTAAGACAAAGTCACCGGATTTATTCAACTTATACAGTGAGACAATTCTCAGAGAGTTAGAAGTCCTACCAGGATTCATTATTATCAGCTATACAGATAACAATGTTGATAGCAGACATAGAAAGGAAATTACAGGAACTCCTACAGAAGGTAGTTAAGGAAAGCAAGAAAGGACTAAACATCAATTCTAAGAAGCGAGAATATATGGTTGTCAGCAAAAGAAAAAAAGCTGAACATGTGAAACCAAAATCTGAAGGCACATTTGGATACTGAAAGATGCCTTCCCAAAACTAAGCAATGTTTTAATAGGAAAATTTTGTTAGAAACAAAAAAATAAAAAAAAAAGATCATTGCTGAAAAAAAAAAAACATCATAGCATGTTCAAAAAAAGACCCCAAACTTAATAAAATCAAAGTTAAAATGTTTATTTTTATGAGGAGAAAAGACCAAAGTATTTTATTTTTTTATTAAATTTTTAATCCTTTCTAGCACATTCAAAGTTTTGGTTAAAAAAATTTTAATTTTTTTTTTTTTTTTTTTTTTTTGACTAATCTTTACTAACTTAGTAATCTTTACTAAGCTTAGTAATTTTACTAAGCCTTTTATCCAGTAAAAAGACAGTGTTTAGGAAATTCTTGCAAAAAATCAAATAATTGTTGAATTTTAATGAAACTTTCAGGACTTATTCACGAATGAATGAAATTATTTTATTTTTTTTTAATTTAGAAATTTTAATAAAAATTTTTTTTTTTTTTTTTTTTTTTTACATATATTCCCCCCGAACACCACCACTTAATTTCAGGAAATTTCAAGAAATTAAATTTTAATTTCAAAATTTGTTTTATTAGTTAAAAGCAGTACTTCTTGGAAAATGTAAATTATAATTTCCTGAAAATCTGCCCCAAATTGTAAAATAAAAAAATACAATAAAATGACATTATTTAATTAGAAAAGCTTTTAATTACTTTTATAAATAAAATTTGTTAAGGACACTATTGTTCTGATGTTTTTTTTTATTAAAATTATAATTTATAAAATTGTAACATTCTGCATGGCTTTAATTGCATTAGGTGATATTGTTATTAATTGAAAACTATATTTACTAATCAAAAACTGAAATGCTTAATACAAATCATGCACAAAGATTTTTTAAATAATTTTTAAATGTGCCCATTTTGAAAGTATGGGTGACCATACACAAATTTAAGGTCAATATTCCCAAAATTTGATTACAGAGAATATTTTCCAACATTTTTAAGATTACTGAGTACTACACATAAAGTCTCTGTAGAAAAACAATAAAGCTGTCATTACCTTTTTGTCACTTGTCAATCCCGTAAACATGGATATTGTCGGTTATAACACAGCTAGTATTTGTTTTAAAAATGCATTTCTGTGTTATTTTAAAGTAAATATTTGTTTTAAATTGGCTAATATTCCTTAAATAAAGTTTCAGAAAAGTATATTTTATTTTTGTAAGATTTTTTTAATAAAGAGAATTACACTGCAATGAAAGACAACTAAAAAAGGGTGCTAATTAGCTATTTTAGCAAAAGAAAAACCCCCAAATCAATTCCAATCAATATAATTTCAGTTTGAAATGCATCAGAGTATTTTGCTTACTGGAAATAGTGAATTTAATCCTTTAGCTTTCAATTATAATTAAAATGAAAGCTTCAAGAAAGCTTTTTCATTTTTAAAAATTCATTTTAAACCTTAGTTATTACAAATTAGTGGAGGTACCTACTACTCTTTACAGATGAAGACACTTAAAGCAACAGAAATGTAGTTCTGCAGAAGGATGCTGTGAATACCATGAACCAGACATGAGCAATGACAAAGTTTTAGAGAAAATGGAAACAAAATGACAGGTGAAATTTCTTAGACACATAATGAGGAAAGAAGGTTTAGAAAATTTGATACTCACAAGACATTCTGAAGGCAAGAGGGACAGAGTAAAGCAACATGTAACCTAATTAACTCAGCTTGTGTAAATGGTTGGGAGAATAGAGATTAGGAGAGGTAATGAAAAGACAAAATCTACTAAGCTACAAAGGATAGGAAATTGTAGAGAGCCATGATTGCCTATGTCCTGAAGGGACATGGCACATAGAAGAAGAAATATAACCACTATTATGGGACTAAGGTAAGATATTATTATAAATTACTACCTCTGTCTCATAATAGTTGGTACATTTGCATACATTCCATACATTAATTGTAACAATTACTTTGAAACAAATTTCATACCTTAAATATTACCACTATTATAGGACAAATTTTCTTATTTTTTTTTTTTTCTCATAATAGTTTTTACATTTGCATGCACATTTCATACACTAAATGTAAGTGTTTATAAAATTGATTTTTGTAACATTCTATTCATAAACTGCTTACAATTCTTTTATATACTCTCTCTTCAGATGTGGGGATCATGGTTCCACAATTTCTTATTTTTGTTGCTCTAAGTAATTTCTGACACTTTATCCACCTCGATATTTTTATTTTTTTTTTTTTTTTTTTTTACTGCTTAAAATATCAGTGTTTATATTTTTTGTTTCTATGCATGTGTAAATCTGAATTGATTAGGTTAATTTTCTCAATTTATTTTTTGTAGAAATAGCATTTTTCTGATTTCTATATTGGAAATCTGTTCAGAATGGAGATGAGAAAATAAACTTTATTTTAATTTTTTTCTCAGAAACTTGAAAATGAGCGTGACGCCATGAAGGAAGTGATTGAAGAAGACCAAGAAAGTCGTTGTGCATTTCAGCCAATGACCAGCCTGGAATGCCAAGAGAAACTAGTGGGCTCCTTATTCACAGAAACAGAAATGTTGTCTATTCCATTAAATATAAAGTAAGTTAATTCATATTAACATTTTTATTTTCTTTCTGAGATGATGTTTCATTCCGATTATTTAGTATTTAGCTATGAACATATTGTATAAAAAACGGAAAAACAAACTTCACACTATGTTAGCTAATTTTTAACATTTTAAAAACAGAGTTTTCTCTTAAAAGTTTTGGTCATTTTTAAAGAAGATAGCTTAACCAATATGTAAAAGAAAAAGCTTGAATTATGTGGAAATCACCCCCACCACAAAAAAACAGTTGTTTTTGAAAGAACATTACAGTTACTTCATAGTACTTTTTAAATCTTTTAAGCTATTCTTGTACATGTAAAAAAAATAAATAAATAAATAAATGAAAAGAAAAAGAAAAATGTGATTTTTGTTTGCAGCTAAATGGTATAGCACGTCAGGAGATTATATATATATATATATATATATATATATATATATATACTAATTATATATGTTTTTAATTTTTTTTTTTTTTTTTTTTTTTTTTTTTTGTTTTTTTTAATTTAAACGATCACCAGAGTATTTTATATGGAAGGAGCTAATTGTGCCATGTAGGGTTAAAATTTTAGTTAGTGGGATACTGCCTTTTCCTGATATAATGGGTCTCATTGGAATGTCCTGTTTATATATTGTTGGTAATCTGTAAAATGTAGGTGTTTTTGGGTGGTGTTCAAAATATTAATAATATAATAGGTATATTATGTATTTTTATTTTAATGCTCTCATATTTTCAGTTCAATTTCTTAATGCTGCTATTAAACTCATTGAGGAAAGCACCATAGTTTTTTTTCATATTTCTTATTTTTCCAAGTACTTTCAATTCCATCTAAGATTATTTTCAGTAGTTAATGGCTAAGACAAAAATTAATGTAATTGATAGTTGTGAAGCTTTTTATAAATGCACATGAAATGTGCTCTATCAATTCAAAAATTAACGTTATCTAAGGGAGGTAACTTAATTTGTATTTGTAAAAAATTTTTTTAAATTACAATTTAACTATTTTAAAACATTGCTGTTTTCATTTTAACCCTTAACACATCAACCTACTTTACAGGAATCAAATACACTCTAACTACAAACAAGATGAAAAAAATCCTATTTCATAAATACTAATATATCTCTCACTGATCCCAGTACAAAAATAAAACTAATTGTACACTATACTAAATTGAATACAACCAACTTAATCATCCACAATAACTCTTCTCCATCAACTAATGTTTTACAAAAGACCAATTTAAATGTCCTTGAGATGTTTTTACAAAATACCAATTTAAATGTCCTTGAGGAGATTGTATCTCTGACAAAAAAGTAAATATATATGCTGGTTTCATGACAATAGCATTATTGAGGAGACTTACAGTGCATATGTCATATTCAAGCTCTAGTGCACAACATTTAAAGGAACATTCCTGTCCACATTCATGATTTAGGGAAATATTAATTGACAATACAAATATACTCCACCATGAAAATAAAAAAAACAAAAACTTCAAATTTTTGAAGCCCTCTATATAAGAAAAATACAACCAACACTAAATAAGTTTACCTATGGGTATAGCAACAATGTTTTAAAATGTCTAGCAAGGTTTTAAAATACCTAAATTGTAATTTAAAATATATATATATAAATTAAGCTACCTCACTTAATTCACCCCTGAAGAAGATCTTGGATGAGATTAAAAGTACTTGGTAAAATAAAAGAAATGGGAAAAACTATGGCACATACTTTAATGAGTTTAATAACATTGAGAAATTTATCCATGAATTTGAGAGGATTAAAATAATAATAGACATAATATATCCAGATTATTCAACCAAACATGCTTGAATGAAGATATTTTTGTGTGTGTATGTACTTACATACGTATACACATACATGCTTGACTGAAGATATGCTGTGCGTTTTATATCTATATATATATATATATATATATATACACATACACACACACACACTCACAAAATGTTAATTTCTTCAATCCAAGAAAATTATATAATTTTCAATGTAAACTTCTGATGGGAACAGTCAATTCCTTTCTTACCATGACAAATGAAATCTTAAAAAAACTATTCCTATAGCTGTTAAAACTATAGCCTATAAAGTAAGATAACTTCAACTCTTATAATGAAATACAATCTACTATAACAGATTATATTAAAATAACAATTTTATTTTCATGTTAGGTTAATCACTTATAAAAATAATTTTTTTTCAAGAAAAATTTTCATGTTAAATAAAAAAAAAAAAAAATCGAATTACTTTTAATCCTTTTGTGACAAGATGTCGCTAATGAAATTGAGTTGTTTTCCTTTGGTAAATGCAGGATTGACTCCACCTATTTCCAGTGTTTCTCAATTAACACTTTCCATGTCCACACTATATTGAAAGATTCGCAGAATGATGTGGAATATCTTGATCAAAACCTTGTTTGTCTGGTCACATGCAAAAATTGTTAGGAGTGCTGATGGTTTTTAACAAAGAATTTGAGTGACGTGACATTAAAAAGAGTAAATCTGTTTACTGTTAGGGGATGCTTGTTTACTCCCCCCCCCCATAAAGGACAATAATTCAAAACACAATTGAGTTACATTCCTTGTCAACTAGTTGGACTGCTGCACTTCTGAATTCAACACGGTGATAAGATGACATGGTTTAAATCCAAACAAATCCTTGAGGCTCTCAGGCAGTAAATAAGTTATTTTATTATGTGTTAAAATACACTTGTCATTTATTTTCGTTCATTTTATTCATCCCAACAACCTGGGATATAACATTTACAAAATGCAGTTTGATTGCAAAATAGTATATACAAGATAACAAAAAATAAAATAAAAATATTGTGCAGTGAGTAGCCATGATCAAATTCAAAATAAATAACAGAACTGTCCAACAAACAGAATTGACAAAGTTTGCAATAACAAGAAAAAGAAAAGAACAGGGCAAAAAATAATATAAAGTAAGCAAACAATATATTCAAAGCAAATTAACAGTAATAAGGCAAAGCAAGAGTAATATGACCAAAAGTTCACAAACTAAGAATTGAGGTTGACATACAAATGCAAGTACGGGCAAGTGAATGTAGCCTTCTGACTTCAAGACATGACAGACTGAGTCAGATGAAACTGAGAAGTGGTCTATTTTATTTGCTAGGAAAAAATCACAGCATGCATTTGTGTGCTTCTATCTATAAATTGGAGAGGGACAAGTGTTTTGCAGTCATTCCCCAAAAGATTGGAATCAACACATATGCTGAACGAGAAATGAGCAATTGGGAGGATAAGATCAATAAGCAATTGCACCTACAGCTAATTAGCTCAAAGTGGTCGGCAAGTACAGCGGTGATAGATTCAAGTGAGTCTCTTCAGGGAAGAATGGCTTTAGGTCTTTAGCTTATTTGTAGTTAGTACCACTGTCTCTCCAAGCTGTAAGGTGGACTCTATATTCCTTAGTGATGGCTGGTACATATAATCCAGCAATTCTTCTTCTCAATCTGGTGCTTCACCTGTCATTTCTTTTATAGAGGAGGGAGTCTTATTCAGGTTTCTTTGATTGGCCAGTGGAAAAACATTATGTAATCCCTGACCAACTAAAATACTGTCTTCTGATAATGTAATTAATAATTAAACCCAAATTTATGTAATCTTTAAGGTAAGCCTTCCAATTTGGCTTTACACAGTTTCTTCACTGATGAAGAGACTTGAGGCAACAGTGATGTGGTTCTGCAGAAGGGTGCTGAGAATTCCATTAATGGAATATGTAAACAACAAAGACATTTTAAGAAAAATGTAAACAAAAAGGACGCTTATGCTTAGGATCAGAAAGTGATAGTTGAAATTTCTAGGATACATAATGAGGAAAGAAGGCTTGTAGAATTTGGCCCTCACAGGGTATATTGAAAGCAAAATGAACAAACAGCAAGTAACCTACCTAAAATGCTTGTGGAATGGCAGGAAAGGAAGTGGGAAGGATAGCAAAATGGCAAATATTCATAACAGCTACAAAGGATAGGAAGTTGTGGAGAACCATGATCGGCCAAGACCTGAAGAGAAGGAAACATTTTTTTTTATTAACTTTCTGGTATTTGTATGAATCCACAGAAATTGTTCTTGACTTGAAAGTGGCATATGATAATTTTGTCTTGAATGTAACAATTTAAATAAAATAATTTAAATTTAAAATATATCATTCTCTCTGTTTATTATCACCAATAATAATAGTGGGGTATATTTGGGAACATAAAAATAGCATTTTCTATTGCTATTAAATTTGTAAAACTTTTCTATAAAAATAATGCATGTAAATGTATATTAGGGCAGGTCGATTTTTCACATTTTTTTGGAAAATCATCATTGTACTTGATACAAAAACTGGGGTTTGGTGTGATAAGTACTCACACCAAAAATTAGATTCATAGCTTTTACCAATTTATGAGCATTTAGTTTTAAATATTACCTGAAGAAAATGTACAGAAATATCTAATTTCTACAAGATTTTGCTTACAAACTGACTTCAAAATTTGACTATTTCAAGAATAAATCTTGATATCTTTTGTATTAGATACACTGAAAGGAAGATATAGTCAAACCAGAATTTTAGTTATGAATCACCACAAGCAAAATATGCATTTTTTTTTTTTTTTTTTTTTTTTTTTTTTTACTGTATTTGATAAGTAAAAAATGTAAAAGATTACAAAAAAGGCTACTCAATGAATAAGATTTGTTAGATCATAATTAATAAAAACAAAAACAGATAAAAGTGTGTATAAAACCATAATACTGCTGGGCACAAATTATAAGACAAAATGTTTTAAATTTGGATTGTTTATTAAAAATCACATTAAGACTACTGCACTGGATAACATATTACATCATAATATAACTAAATTGATCAATATAATTTCCCTTCAAAGTAAATGAAGGTCTTATTTGATGGCACAATAACTTGGTAATAAAGTGCTTCTGCCATGCATCTTGTCCATATACAATTTGTGAAGCTTCAGTAAATTATAAATTTTATAAGTCTGTGCTATATGGCTTTCACTGATCACCAGAATGAAATTTGAACCTAAACTTAATCTTTAAACTTGTTTCCTCAAAAAACTGTAATGATTTGGAAAAAAAATATTTTGTGTCACTATTTATCATGTCAAATTCCAACCTTCAAATTGAGTGCAATACCATGATTCCAAAATCACCCTGCCCTAATGTATATGTGCTAATATGGAAAAGAATGAAGATTGTAAAAGATCTTGAAAAATGTATGCATATTAATTGGAATGCACCTTTTGAGTTGTACAATCTTGGAAAGTGTGGAATGACATTTTGATGTATGGCAAAAAGGGTTCATTGGGTAGAAAAAGGTTAAGGATCAATGTTTTAAAGGGAAGACTTGGGAAATAATAATGAACCTCTTTTTATAGATAAACAAACTAATTTTTTTTTCTTAACAAAAAAAATTCAGCATTCTGTTAAAAAAAAAAAAAAAAAAAAAAATGAAAAAATTTCAAATGGAAAGATGACCAAAATTTGTAGTGTGATTGAATTTTAGATTAGAATTTATTTTTAAGTTTTGCTATAAGTGCAAATCTACCAAGACTTTTTTTTTTTTTTTTAATAAATTTGTTCATTTTATGATTTTTCTGCTGTCTGTTGCTGCTCAGGACATATTTTTGGCAAGTTTTCCTCACTGTCATCAGAAAATGCATGCCCTCTGACCTCCACTGGTGGATAAACTACTACACGTCATCCCTCCTTTGAACCAATACTTTTTTTTTTTTTTTAATCTAGATTTAACTGTTTAGACATAATTGCAACATTCCCAAAATTTGAATGGATTAATCTGACTCACTTTCAGCCTTTTTTATGTAGAATTTGTATTGTAGGATTTACTTTTTCATTTTTCATTTTTTAATTTTCACAGCACTTGTGTGAAACACTGACACTTTTTAGTTGTTGTTTTTACTCTACGTGCATAGATAAATATATGGAAATTCAGGACAAAGACAAAAAACATGCCTTAATTAGAATAATGCTCCAAAAATTATTAACAAATGTATTTTAAATTTTGTTTCAAATAAATGAAATTAATTTAAAATAATCATTACAAAATTATTAGAATTCTATGAATCCTGTTTATTTTCTGAAAGCAATAGAAATTCTTTATTTCCAAAGAAAATATCAGTTACTCAAGTGTTTCTGTTAAATTTATGACTTTAGAATTCATTTAAAGTGTTAAAGATAGTATTTGTTTATCACTGGTCACGGGACATTTTGTGCACTGCATTATTTGGTATTTGATGAGATTTTTTTTTAAATCTTGAAACAAATATTTTCATGAAATCATATATAAAATAGGGGATAACATTATATAAATTTTTATATATCAAGAAGAAATTTTTTGGGAAAAGATGTGTGACAAAGTGGAAAAAGTTTTCATGCAACACATTTTGTCCTTTAGGACTTCATCAGATTCAATTTATTTATATTAGTGTGGCTACACATGCACATGAGCGAGATATTAAATTATTTTCTTTAATGTGTTTTGAGTATGTAATCTAGCCAAAAGAAAAAGAATCTAAATAAAATTGGCTATATAAAAATAAAATTTTTTCCACTATGTATCACTTTTTTCCTCCAAAATATATATATATATATATAAAAACTTCAAACATTAGATACTCATGTTTGAAATAGATGCCCCATTTTTTTTGTGTATTATGGTGGTTACTGGCTTTTTTTTTTTAATCAGGCATTTGTTTCAAACATATCTACTAAAAAATGTCAGATTAAAAATAGATCTATTAATTCTTTAAAAGCACACACACACGTCTATATATCTTAGATGAGGTATTATAATTATTTACATTGTTTGGATCATTGTCCTCATCTTTGTTGCCATATTCACAACATTTTGGCCATTGTATGTTCCAACCTTCTTCAAGTGATTGGAATTTCAACCCAAACCCTTTATTTCAACCACCAAGGTAGATTGTTCTAGTTCCTTGTGTCATACCTCTTTCAGATGTTTGTTATCTCCCTTTAACTCAACTCTCCAAGCTTTCGTTCACCAATGCTATGGTGAGATATTGAACTCACCACTATTTGGGTCAAGTTACTGGATCCAACCAATGCTTTTATCTAAAGGGGCAATTGTCCTTAAGGACCCTGATGAACAAAATAAAGGTTTTGATTCAAAATTCCAATCACCTGAACAAGGCCAGAGCATACAATGGCCAATACATTGTGAATATGGCAACAAAGATGTGGACAGTAGTCCGAACAATGTAAATAGTATAAATATATAGACACACACACACACACACACACAAAGGTCAACGGCAAGTGGCAACAGTCTGTTTCATACTTGAACACCTTCTTCAGGCCATGAGTGTCGTTTTGGCTCAACTGTATATGATCAATAGTCAATTGTGCATTATGGGTAGTAAGGTTTATTGTATTCTCTTGGCAGTTATTGGTTAGATGGTAGCAGTTATTGTTTCAAATTATTCTAGAGACTATTGAGTAGGAATAATTGTGGAACTGAATGCAGTTATTTGTAGCTATTTTATAGTGTTGTTAACTTTTCACTCTTTATCTATTATTGAATACTTACTTGCTCGTATCACACCTTGGTGCAATCAACAAACTCTTATGTTTACACTGTCTATATCTATGAAAGCTTTATCTCCAATACTGATCATTATTCCCCTATAAGTATAGCAAATTATAATCACACACACACACACCTATATATAATTCCATTAGGTACAGAAATAAAATTATCAGATTTAGACTTTGAAGGTCACAATGACAGACGTGCATTTCCTAAATATGGTATTTCAACCATTTTTCTGTGATGACTCCTTGTGGTTTAATTGAAAGTGGTTTCCTAGGAGGCCTGGTGGGGTAATGGATAGTGGCTCAGATTGAGGAATTGGAGAGCCGAGTTCGAATTCCAATTGAATCCATTACATTCACTTACATGCTAATACCCTTGGCAAAGGTATGAATCCTATTCTTCTCCCCCCAGCTATGGGTAAATAGCAGGACAGACTGGGTTCTATAGCCTTGGATGGCAACTGGTCTACCACAGAAAAAAATGGCAACCTACAGCAGGAAAAAAAATCTGCCTCATCAGTCATGTATCAAAAGATACATGATCACCTAAGAGTGTATCACGCATGGCACATAACTATATAGGTTTCCTAGACTAAAAAGTGAATACAAGTTTGATTCCTGCAGCCATTTTTTATTGTACGACTGTCTATTTAACCTATTAGTGCATGGCATCCAATTTTGCAGAAAAAAATGTTTTAAACAAAATATTTTTCTTTTGCATTATTTTTTAAAATTATCTTATTTTTTTCTTAAGCATTTTGATTAAAGAAAATTATTTTTTTTTTGTCTTCTTTTTACTAGGGAAAGATTGATGCGAATTGCCATTGAAAATAAAGAATTAAAAGAATCCCAATCAGGGATGGCAGATGAACAGACAGAAATGCTGCGTAAAATGTTGGATGATAGCAACTCTAAACGTAATGAATTAGAAGCAGACCTCCGGTGAGTAAAATATTACCAAATTTATTCCAAATAGATAGGTTCACCTATTGTCCAGTTCAAACTCCTCTCTGGTTTTTTGAACAGAAGTAGAGGTTTATTCTTTGTTACCTATGTAGAATTGGGTCTCCAGTTTTTTCTAAAGTTTTTTTTTCATTCTCTTTCACTTCCAGTATCCTTTTGTATCTTAGTGGCATTATTGCCTTGCTTGAAATGAATTGATTAAAATGTTTTAAAAAAAATCTTTCATTGTAGTTTGATATTAACTGAACTTAACCATAGG